GTAGTCTCGTGTTAGAAATGTCGCAATGTATTGCGAAACAATTACTTTTGTTACTATCATATAATACTATCTCAAGCCAGTTTAGCATCATATTACACATAATCAGATCTTGGTTATTAGGGCATTGCAATGTGTCGGACGCTTATTGTTTTATTTAATAAAGATAACAGCTAGGCAAGTGGTCCACTGTATCGTAAAAATCTGGCCAAGTGCGAGTCGGACTCGCGCACGTAGGGTTTCGTACTTTTTTTTTTTTTTTTTTATGCCAAAAGTTGCCAAACGAGCAGACGGGTCACCTGATGTTAAGTGAATACCGCCGCCCATGAACATCTGCTACACCCGAGGCTTACAGATGCGTTGACAACCTTTTGAAAATTGGGCTCCGGCTACCTCACTCACCAGACGAAACGCGAAAGTATTTGTCATACTTCCACTTTACGCCGGTCTTCTGTGAGGTCGTGGTACTTACCCGGACGGGCCTGCCCATTCGTACAACAGCCGAGGCTGCTGCGTGGCCCTACCACCGATATTATCCATAAAACAGCAAAAAAAATCATGTCTGTTGTATGACCCCACTTAAACATTTTTTATTCTGTTTTTTTAGTATTTTTTGTTATAGCGTCACCAGAAATACATCATCTGTGAAAGTTTCAACTGTTTGACTATCACGGTTCATGAGATACAGCCTGGTGACAGAGGTACAGACAAACAGAGTCTTAGTATACTCATTACTCATACCATTGTTAGATCTATCATAGTTAATTTCGTCGAATGAAATGTAAACGTAATTAAAATTAAAATTAATAACACGTACATTCGGGAAGCAATACTTCGTCGGTGCCTTCGGCCATCGATCACTCATCATAAGCCCGCCTAATCTTACAACTTCGACATTAAACAACAGTTTAAACAAGGCCCAGGTATTATAATAAATCTTCCGTATTGCCCCCGGCTGTTAGCCGACTCGATATTTCAAAGTGCAAACGTATTCGAGTCGCCAGAACTCACGATTTTCCACTTTGAGCCACCGTAATAAGGTGGGGCGAGGTGCAAATCGCTAACGTAATTGAGTGCAAAATGGCCGATGGGTTTAGGCCGGTACACACGGCAGATAGCGACTGATATTAATCCGTCAGATCGTGATTAGATTCGGTGGCACGGAGTAATATATTCTCAAAGGTGTCAGCCGTAGGGATGTGCGTCGCATGTCGATGAATTCGATACCAAACAAGCCCTTACATCTGTTGGCCCAAACTCGATAGACGGCTAGTATATAACATGGGAATATCTTTGACCAAGATTATTAATACCTGAATAGATGCAATAACTAAAACTCATTTGCAAGTCACCCTGGATTTTTTAATTCATTATAGATTTTTCTAATTGTCCATGTCATCCATTCGCTTACCTTCGTAACAAAAAGTAACATATAAGATAACCGAACTTCTTCCAATTCTAAACAAAAAAAAATCAAAGCCATCTGAAATTGGAGGAACTCTTCTCAAAAAGTTATAGATTTGTCTTTCCACCATTCCAAGTTTGAAAATGAAATCTGCTAGTACAAATCTTTTAACAATATTAATGTCAAATTATCGATATCGATAATCACTTGGACACTCAAGGGTGGGCGGGCAAGGATCGGTTCGTGCCGCGGCAAGCGCGAGGCGTCTTAGCGCCGGCTGCTCCACCTTCAGCTATCGACAACTTAAACAACCCTACAGCGAACTTGCCACGTTTCGTCTTACGTTCCAATAGACGTTCCTATAGTATTTTTGTAAATCGACGTCTGTACGATTGTAGACTTAATAAAGTTTAGTTGAGGAGGAAAACCATATAGTACAGCATACTGTTAAGTCTGAACGACCAATTTGTAAATCATATGTGAGTTTTTTATAGTGCTAATCTCTGCACTTAAGATTAAACATTAGAGATTAAACATAAAGCGTCAGGGCGCGAATTCCGAAGACGTGGGTTTGATTTCCACAACGGCGAGAAACTTTTCTTTCTTTTTTTTTTTCTACAAATTTTAACATATGCGTGTTATTCAGTTATATTGTGGCGTAAGGAATTTCTCATAATACCCAAACACTTCCTTTCAAAATTCAATGGCCTCGCTGAAGATGAGAGGAGTATCTGTACTGTTTAGTTTCGTCTGGTTAGTGAGGTAACCGAATGAGAGTTATCTTAGGTTGGCAACCAACTGTGAGTGTTATAAATGTTCATCCAGATGGCAGATGTTGATTTCGTAACGGCGTAAATGACCACCGTCATCGACGCCTAACTTCGTTCCCATCAACTACGCGCATTCCATAACTAACACGAGGACTTTCGACAAGAATCGAGAAACAAAACATAAAACACTGTGGTAGGACCACGCAACAGTTCTCGCTGTTGCACGAGTGGGCAGGGAAGTACAACGACCTCACGGGAGACAGGCGTGAAGTTGAAGTATTGTACTTCTGCGTTTCGTCTGGTTAGTGAGATGGCCCACTTTATTAAAAGGTAAACGCATCTGCAATCCTACGGGTGGTGCAAATGTCAATGGGCGGTGATTATCACTTAACATCAGGTGTCGCCAGCTCATTGGCTAAAAATATAAATCGACAAAAATCAGACACACCTATCTCAAACTTCAAGGGCTCGTCACTTACTTTTAGCTTTAGTTTAAATTGTAACTAATTAAAAGAAATATTTTTTATAAGAATGTTTTCAATTTCCTAAAACTCTTGGTCAAAAGAGTTTTGTTTGAGTTTTACACATACATTTCATTGTTACGTTTCATCGAAGGGAATCCTAATGCCAAAATTAAATTCTAAATAAAAATTCCAGTCAACGGAACTATATGATGAATGAATGAATGAATGAATGAATGAATGAATGAATGAATGAATGAATGAAATATACTTTATATTTCATTTATTTTCATTCATTCATTATTACACAAGCAGCGGATATTGAAGAATCATAATTAGTCCATTTTGACCTCGAATTCTCTCGATCATCTTTTCGAGTGCAAAGCTAAATTAAAAAAAAACATGCCAATGGAGTGTTCGTAAAAACTAGGAATTATTTTTTGCCAATATTCATAAAAAGGTATCAGTTATTATATATTCGTAAAAAAGCCAACCTTTTTTAGGTTTCCCTTGACCTTTACAGATTTTACGATCCCGATTTCGATATAAACAAAAACTTATCAGAAGTCGATATGGCATCTTTAATTATTCTAACCTCACTTTTCCGGGTATCGTCTTGAAACACTTCAATTCATCTTTGATTATATACTTGTCGGATTATATTGAGAACTATATAATCAAAGCAATTCATGTTAAAATTATGCGTGTATATCATCACATCCTAGATTTGTTGCAAAGCAATTTTTTCATTTAATTTTGATGTAGATAATTTGTATTTACGCGACTACACATTACTGGAACTTTTTACAGATTTATCACGTTTATTTTTATATTTAATTCCCGGATTTTTGAACCCTTTACAGAGATCGTGGTCACGGGACATACTGAGGTGTTACACGTTTCAATCAATGTAACCGTTAACCTGGGCTCCCGCCTGTTTTTCTTCTACGTAGATCGGACACAAAATCCAAATCCAACGCCTGTCTCATTTAGTAATTTTATCTGGTTATTAAATAATAACTTATTTTCAGATAATGATTACCATTAGGATAGTCACGCGTTAGTTATGGAGAAATACCGAGGCATTAAACAAAAGCATGTATTGGCGACGATAATCACTTATTAGGTAAGCTCACTTGTATATTAAAAAAAGGATTTTATTTTTATCGTTGTCGAGTAATGTTCTTGTATTTCAGTTCTTAAGACTACCTAAAGCTTCGCTGCCGATGAATCTCTTTATTCAAACTTCAACCGCGTCGGTCATCAACTGCCCAATTATTGTCAGGTAGGATCATAGACAACCACAAGCCATTCATTATAACGATAAAATATAAGCAAGGTACAATTTCCCTTTGATAATCCGCTATTGGCTTCGTTGGTTCAAATTACAAGGTGCTTCACAATACAGGAATCAACTCGCTGTGTCTATAATCAAACGCGGCTTGTAATCCGTGACGGTAGCTTACCCCATGTAATTATAGCCTCTTACCATTCTTAGGGGACGTGACATTACTCTGCCGAAAATATATAGCACGGAGCACCTTGATTTACGAATCACGACAGCTCATACATGTTTACATGTATTGTTTTTGCTGGCTTTTAGGGTTCCGTACCCAAAGGGTAAAAACGAGACCCTGTTACTAAGACTTCGCTGTCTGTCTGTCTGTCACCAGGCTGTATCTGATGAACCGTGATAGTTAGACACTTGAAATTTTCACTCATGATGTATTTCTGTTGCCGCTATAACAACAAATACCTAAAAAACAGAATAAAAAACCATTAAAGGGGGGGGTTCCCATACAACAGACATGATTATTTGTGTAAATTCAATATACTCGATCAACTTAAGTTTAAATTCTATGACCAATGAAATTGTTAATTCTAATTCTAATTCCTAACTTATCACGTGTTCTCCGATGAAAGGAAGTATCGTGAACCTGTATTTTCAAAATAGTAATAAAACTATATTCCAATAACATGTGAACTCTGCACAATCCGCAGTGGGATCGCGTGGTGGACTATGCGCTAAAACCCTTTGTAAAGCCAAAGGGTGTTAAGGCACTCAGCAGTAGGAAATGTATAGGCTATTACTATTTACTACGAAACAGCTCGGCATATTCATTTTAACTAGTAGTCGCCCAGTGGTCGAAATTCTACCGTCCGCGCGATTTTCGTAAAAAGGGGTACAGAGCTTTTGCTTCACGTATAAATATATAGATCCCTCTCATCCCTACCCACAGAGGAGGGCCTCAAACTCGTGGTTTCCGGCTAGCCCACCGGTTCTGCGTTAGAAGAAGCTTTAATGGTCTAAGGACTGAAAGCGTAACATCAGCTATACAAAGAAAAAATTCCTCGCTACCCTGTAAAATGCTCTGCGCCGAGTTCGGAGCGAATCCTACCTTAGGAGCGGGTAAAGTGCAAATGCTGGAGGATCCGAGCATGAAACGCGCTTCCCTGGCGTGCACGGCTTCCGTCGTCCGCCTAATTACCAACTCGCCAATCCGCTTTGTGTTCGAGCGAAATTATTCGCTTATTAAAATATCGCGCGGCCCGCACCTGTCCGCTCTCTGAGCCGATTAACGTCGAACGTCGAGCCGTAGCCGTCACAAGTTGGACGAGCCCCCCAGGGGGAACGTACTGTTATTATCATATACCTATAATAAAGCATTACAAGCTATACGGTTTATATTCGACTCCCTGTTCGTGAACTGTCCGTCGGTTAGCTTGGCGCGAGTTAATTATAATAAAAAGAGATGTCTAAACTACATAGGACAAATTGTTTTGAGACGAGTTGCATATTATAATCCTTGGATTATACTTTTAAAATACCAAGAAAATAAACTCTGCAACATGGTATGTTGTATTAGCAGTAAATTTTACTTGCATAATGTATAATATTTCGGTCAACGAGCAATTATTAATATTCATAATTACAAAATCATTTAATTCACTTGGTCAAAATATTGGTCATATATACGTCTTACAATAGTAACTGCTATTTACGATATCCACATCTTTTAATTACCTCACCCCATCTACTGCACTATACCTACCAAATACGATTTTACCATCTCCATTACACTATCTCCACTGATGTTTGTTAACGCCAAGTTAAGTCGATTACCTTCCGATTTCAACATATAAACCGTACGAAAAGTGGAAACATTTAGTTTTATCCTCCCCGATGCAACACTTAATAAAGCGATCGAGATTTGAATGGAGCATTCAAACGTTTGGGTCGGAGCTGGGGCCCTAAGCACCTGTCTCGCACTTAACCCGTTTGCAAAGCGCTGACTGCCTGCATACGAACTTTTTTGCATTGACACGTTACCTCTAGTGATGTTACGGAGACGTCGATACGTAAACAATAACAGTTAGAATGACAATCATCATCAATATATCTCGCTACATTCTGTTCGGGTCCACTGCTGCACATAGGTCTCCACCACATGCTGCCACGAAGCACGATCCTGAGCCACCTGCATCCATCGACTTCCTGCTCAGCACAGCTCGTCACTCGTGGGCGTTCATCCTTCACTACAATAGCAAATACGAGGTTGCCATTCAAGAAACTCTCTTCGCCGTCGTTTCTCAGTTCTAAAGATATGGCCGACCCATTGCCTCTTCAGCTTAATAGCTTTCTGAGCCACGCCGGTTACCTTTGTTCTTCTGCGGTTTTCTTCATTGAATGAAAATAACTTATAATTTACTGATATAAAGTATTGAAAAGAAATATTGAAACTGGATAAACGAATTGTATAAGGTCATTTTTAAGTTAGATACATGGAACAAGTTTAAAAAGCATTTTGTGTATATTGTCATTTTTATAAATATAATATACGAGTAGCTAAGTCTATTTAATTAAAGTTTCCCATTACCCTCCAATCCACAACAAATATTTAAACGTAAAGCCTGTATATCTTTTGAGGCGATTGATCCGGTTTCAAGTGTTTCCCGTCTACAAATCCACCACAGTCATACGGTTGCAGCGGGCTCTATTCACCAGTCTAAGTGCAAGGTTATAAAATTTATAATGTATTCATACATCCACTTAACGACAGCCTTCTGTGACTTCCCCAAGCAAGCCCTCAAATTCACACATCACCAAATGCTGCTTTGGCTCTAGGATCGAAAATTTTAGTCTATTCCACTTTCAAAACTATCGATAAGCAGCCGGGTGGCTCTACGATCGAAGACTGTAGTCTTTACTTCCAAAACTATCGATAAACGGTCGGGGCGCACCACTAGTTGTATCGAATAGCGCCAAGTAGTCGTTTGACCTGAAACTCCGATATACCATCGAGCACGCGCGCCCACTCACCACCTTTTACCGTCGCTAGCTTGTGGAGTGGTTTAGTGGGTCACTGGAGCAGGTGATTTAGGTCGATCTCGTATCGCTTAGCCCTGAATTGGCTTAACGGCTCTTAATATAGCGCCGCGGCGAGCGCAACTTGAAGCCCACTTTTCGCTAGTACATATTATTTATTTGCCATCTGTATTCCCCTAACGAGATATCTAATTACGTTACTTAAGTTTACTGCAAAATTTGTACGAATCAATGGTACAAGGTTTTTATGTATCAGATCTTAACTAGTAACTATTAAAGGCGAACATCGCATGCAGTAACAAATAAAAATTAAAAAAAAAGAATACAGTAAACAATAATAGTGTACATATAACAAACTCGTGATGTCACAGCATGACTCTTTGATAGTATTGGCCCGATAAATCCATAATAATACAACTTGCTTTCATGTGAATCTCATTGAACTGCCATATAGACTTCAATATAGACAGCGTCATTTTGTTTATTGATGACCATTAATTATTTTAATTCATTCGCATACAAAGCCTTGAATAACCACAAACATTTAACCGTGAGTATGTGTAGACAAACTTGCATTCATCCATCCACCATCCATCACTAGTCGGAAGACATCCACTGGTGAACAAAGACCTCAATCTATCCACTCTCCTCCATCCACTGGTGAACAAAGACCTCCAATTGTATTCAACCATACACTATGTTGGGTGGTGGAATGAGTGGGAATAAAAGACATAATTTGCGTTAATATAATTTAATTAAAAATATTTGATTTCTCATGTTAATTTTAGTGATAGCTTAAGTGTTTGAGTGTGCACAGCTTTTTATTAAAATATATTTTTATATTAGATTGGGGGAAAAAGTCTTTTCGCAAATAGTATATATGTACTTATAATATATCTCTTTGGCTATACCATTTGTATCTGGCTAGTTTTGGTATCATTAAAAAGTTTAAATTTTAAAAAAGATAATTCCAAATTCAAATTAGGAAAATGTGTGATTTTCAATTGTTTTTCTTACTGTTAAGATGATTCTAATGAAGAAAATCGATACATTTTAAAATTTTACTATATATATTTGTGATAAATATTTGTGATATTTATGGGCCTAGTGCAGTGTCTGTGAGAGTAGCACAAATTTGGTATAAGCGTTTTCAATCCGGAAATTTTGATGTCAAAGACGGATAAAATGGATGCCATTTTTGAAAAAGAGGAGCAAGATCGGTATATCAGTAGTTACGATGTAGCTGAAGAATTGACCACAAAACACTTTTGACGCATATGAAAAAAGCTGGGTACAAAAAAATGCTCGATGTTTGGGTGCCTCATGAGCTCACTGAAAGAAACCTTATGAACCGTGTACTCATTCGTGATCCTTTATTACGACGTAATGAAACCGAACCATTTTTGAATAACCTGATAAATGGTGATGAAAATTGGATCACGTACGACAAGAACGTGCGAAAAAGGTAGTGATCAAAGGCTGGTCAGGCTTCATAGACTCTGGCATAACCCGGGTTATCTCGCAACAGGGTAATGCTGTGTGTATGGTGGGATTGGAAGAGCATTATTAATTAAAGCTGTTACCGCCAGGCAGGACCATTGAATCTAAACTCTACTGCGAACAACTGATGAGATTAAAGCAAGAAGTTGAGAGAAAGCGGCCGGAATTAATCAACAGAAGGGGTGTGGTTTTTCATCATGATAACGCTAGACCTCACACATCTTTAGCCACTCAGCAAAAATTAAGAGAGTTTGACTGGGAGGTGTTAATGCGTCCGCCGTATAGTCCTGACCTTGCACCTTCAGATTTCTACTAGTTTCGGTCTTTTCATAATTCTTTAGGCAGTCTCAGGTTAACATCACGAGAGGACTGCCAAAACCACTTGTCACAGTTTTTTGATCAGAAGCCCCAGAATTTCTATAGCAATGGGATCATGTCCCTACCTACAAATATGGCAGAAAGAGTTATCGAACAAAATGTCACCTACAAACTTTAGTTAAATGTAAATAAACTTTATTAAAAAATGTTTTGAATTTTCATATAAAATGCGAAGAAACTTTTTCCCCAACCTTTATTAGAAAGGTATAGCAACTGTTTAATCTCAAAAATAAAACCCAGCCTTATCTACAAAACAATGCTGGAATATAGTTAATATTCCAGCCTAGTTAAACAAGGTGTGTTTTAAAGGATCAACAGATACAGAGAGCAATTAAAATATTAATAAATAAAAGACATTTTATCTTCTGCAAAAATTTATTGTTCTGTATTTAATAAAAATAACACTACGGGCTACGCCGCGCCGCTTTTAAGGCACGATAACTTTTGATATCGACGAATTGCGACCAAACGCAATGCGGAGTGAAAAGACATTTTCTCGCTTATTGACACACCTCGAGCTAAAAATTATGTTGCCATTAATTAGAAGTTCGAATCTCAATAGGCGACGATAAGGAATCAAGAGTAGGCAAAAATCATTTTGAATATTGATATAAGAAAACGGCAAGCGGAATATTCTTTCAATTGATAATTATTATAATAATACTTATATATTGACAATTATTTTTAATACTAATTTTTGTAGATGAATGGTAAAATCGCGCGGAAGAAACATGCTCGAATCACTCAGCGCCAAGTTTTTTGTCCATTTGGCCAAAAAAAAAATCACTTTTTAAGTTTCACCTTGTGCGTAAACTAGCACTAAAAATAAATTTAACCATAAATTATTCTTTGACACTCGATGATTTTATTAAACCTGCAAGCCAACTTCGACGATCATTCCGTTGGCTTACTTCCATGACTGGAAATGTTGAAAAACATGCATATAATGTAAGTGGCCTCTTTGCTTAGGTTGAACGTTGAAGTTGAGTTATTGCACATTTATGTACAAAAAAATTACAATTTATAGTTTTTTATAGTTTTCATCTTGGTTGCAGGTATTTAGCACTAAAAATAAAAATTAATCCTAATAAATGCATATAAATTATCTATTGTGTCACGAATATTCCTTCGAAATTAAAAGGAATCGAATATTAACCGAACTCGGAAAAGAGGATTGTCCATTTTTAGCTCAATTAGTGACGTTTTCCACATTTCGTTTGGTCCGACTTAGCTTAGCATAACTTAGCAAAATAAATAAAATGCGGGACCACTATACGAAAGCATGATAACTTGGCAAAATAAAAAAATGCGGGAAAGAAAAAAAGAAAACAAAAGAAACCGTAAGAAATTATCTTTAATTTGAATAAATCTGGAAATAAAAGACACCTAAAAGTTACACGGCTAAAAAAATATATTACGAAACTAATCACACGCTTAAGTAACGAAAGAAATTCTTTTGGACGGAAAAATAAAAAAAAGCACACTCTAACGCCCGGTTTCTAAAACAATGATCATGGTATTTGGGTTGCCAAAAGTATTGTTAAATTCTTGAATTGATCATTCTGATCATTAAGGAGATCATTCTGATCAATTCAGAGAGTTTAACAATCCTTTTGGCAACTCAAACAACATTCAAAAACATTCGAAAAGCCATTTGACAGCTGATTAGTTGACACCTACGATGATCAGTGTTTCAGAAACCGGCCGTTATTGTTACATCTCCTACGAACTACGAAATTATACAAAATTAAAGTGTTGAGATTCGTCTGTCTTATAAAAATATACAGATCTATGTGAAACGAGTGAGTGACAGTACAAGTAGTAGTCTAGTCTAGTGTTACTCGATTTCAATTTGAGCTCTCGAGTAAAATGTCTTCAGCTCTCGAGTAAAAAAGTCACCTGGCTTCGAAATTACACTAAGCTGGCGATGAAAAAAAAAATTCCCGATACTTTTAGTAGTCTCCATTCTAATAGATAAAAATACATATTAGATCATAAAAGCACTAACACTTTGTACGCTTCATTTCATGAATTTCAGCCGAATATAAAGAGAATAGAAAACTATTTCCGCTTAAAAACTTTACACAAAATTTGCGCTTTCCTTGATGCGCTTCATGACTGGGCAAATTCATTGGTTTTGTCATTCGATAAAATCAAGTAGCAAAATATATACGCTGATGTACAAAAATCAATGATTAAACTACAAAACTAATACTTAAAGATCACTTAATATTGTATCATTCCTTATTTAATGTCGAATGTCCTTGTCAAAATGTTTAAAGTTAACCGATGAGCGAAAGAATATTAAAGTCTTATAAAAAAAAACTAATCTAATATTGTCAGCTTTCTATATTATAGCTATTTTAGCACAAATTGTAGAATTTGTGTTTAGGAAAGAAATTGTAACGAGATTCGTGATTATGAAGTTTTAAGTGTTGTAATCATGTTACAATGCAAAGTTTGAAGGTATTAATATACAAAATTGGATGTTCCATAATGACAATGTATTTAATTAGACATTATGAAATATGAAATACCACTAATAATATACAAGTGTATGAGAAATTTTGCAGTTAAAAATACACTTTTGTCGATTATTTGTTATTTAAATAGGAATGGTACGTTTGTATAGATAATTATTGCTACGTATGTTTGTACTAATATTGTATTTGTGATAATGCCATTTAAGAACTACATGATTTGTTTGAAGTGAAGTTAGTATATGTTAGCAGTAGTATGTTAGCAAGATATTAGATTCGAAAGCGGTGAGAAACTTTTAAAATGACTTGTTTAAGGTATAAGTAAAACTTTCGAATGAAAAAAAAATAAATCAGGTGATATACTGTTAGTAGTTGTAAGTTATTATTTTAACGTCTAAAATTTAAGAGTATAAGAATATATAAGGTAATACAGAATGTGTATTAAGAAAGTAGCATAAGTTTATATATAAAATTAAGTGACTTAACCAATTTGTGCTGTCGTATTTTTTAACATGTAACAACTTATAGTCTGTTTTGATTTTCGTACAATAAGAACCATGAATACGGGCGAGAGTTACGGTAAAGCCTTCCTGGAGAAGATCCACAGAAGTGACTCACACGAGATATTTCTTAAGGTTTTGGTTTAACGGCTGACAAATAAATGGACATTTTATACTGCAATGGCGGGACGATCAATTTTCACATGTCATACAAGGTCACAGATGTTCTTGTTGTCGTCAAAGTGGTGATGGGGGCAGTGGTTCATCTGAAAGGCGACTTCCCCATATCGTAAGTGGTCGCTGCCGTGTTTTGAAGTGGCAGGTCGTGGTGGTGGTGGGGTCTGGGTGGGGGTCTTGGTGGAGTCCAGATGGGGTCGAGACGGGGGAGACCGCCCCTGCCGTTGTTATTGTGGTAATTTTTGAAGTGGCCGGTGTCGTGGTGGTGGTGTGATGGTGGCGGAGGGGTTGAGGCTTCTAGATGAAGAACTCGCGGCGCTTGGTGACCCTGGCGCCGGTGGCGGCGGCTAGCGCGGCCGAGTCAGGATCTGCCGCGCCGTCGGCTCCTCTCTCCTCCTGCAACGGAAAAGCACCCGTTTCGTGAACATCGGCTCTTTATGAGGAGGCGGCAAACGAGCCGGCGGTTTACCTGATGTTAAGTGGTGACGCCCGCCGATGGACATTTGCAACACCCGTAAGGTTGCAGATGCTTTGAAACATTTTAATTATGATTATAGTAAAAACGGAGTAGCCGGTGTGGTCTGCTTTGCTTGGTGGGTAGACGAAAAATTTTGCGATAGCTAGCCGACGTTTCTTTCCTGAGGTAGAACAACGGAGCAAGTCGCACTGCCAAACTGCAGGCAGTTTGGCAGTGCTGTTCGCTGCTTTACAGCACACCAGTTTAAGATAAATTGTTTAAACTTTACTTGGTACCTTGTGCCTGACTTGTGTATGCTGGAAACGTAAACGCTGCAGTAAGTGATGTACGAAGCTAGGCGCGAGGCCTGCTTTTAACGAGTCTCGGGGGCCCTGTCCCCATTACTCGGGCGTGTATCTCGACCAGCGAATGGCTGGTCGGTGGTGAGGATGGCCATTGGCCATCCCTATCCCTGACCGCGGTAGCGGCACTTGCGGGTGTACGGCGTTACACGCGGTGTGTAACGCGAGGACGACATCGTCTTCGACACAGCGGCGCAAGTGCGGTCGGGTCCGGCCCCCCCAATGGCCTGTTCCGACCGCAGTAGCTCTCGTGGGAGCGGACGTCCGTCAGGAGGACGGGCATGGAGTGGAGCAATATTCTCCAGGTGTGGGTGTGGGCCGTTGTCGGCCCTGTCGTACATGCGACGGGCCAACCGGACCACAAACTCCTTGATGGACTCGATCTTAAGGTCTCGGGCTATTACGTCGTTCCTGACGTAACGCCCGGCCCCCACGATTGCTCGAAGGGCGAGGTTCTGCTGCGCCTGGAGCCTGCGCCTCTGCGAGGCGGAAACCAGTGCGTACCACGCCGGAGCGGCGTAGGTCAAGCGCGAACGGATGTAGGTTTTATAGACGCCCAGTTTCGTCTTAACAGGTAGCTTGGATGCCAGGATTGGGTAAAAGGACCGCTCGAGCTGCCCTGGCTTGTCGAACAGAGTGTTCAACTTGGGGCGCCATACTCAGCGAGCGGTCTATCCGGCACCCAAGATACCTGATGGTGTCCTGGTTCGTTATCGCTTGACCTCGCAGCTCAAGCGTGGGTTGGTGTTTGATGTGGCGGATGTAGATGGCGGACGTCTTGTCTACATTGACAGACATCTGCCACTCGGGCAGCAGGTCCAATTGGCGCTGCATCTTCCTCGCCGCAAACGCCGCATTGTGTGAAGACAGGTACTTACGTACAGGGCCAACAGTACGTCCTCATCCCAGTCGGAAGCGTTTTGCTCCAAGGTGGGAATGTCGTCCATGTACACCGCATACAGGTGTGGCGACAGACAACTACCTTGTGGTACACCGGCTTTGATACATAGTCGACGTGTACGACGAACTTCCGGTCCCGGAAAAACGACGCTACTAACCGCACGAGCGCGCGGTGGGTGGTGGTATTCTCCAACAGCCACACTCTGTCGAAGGCCTTCTCCATGTCGAGAAGGACCCCCAGACAGATGCGGCCCCTGTCGTACTGGGCCGCAAGATAGTGCAGCACTCCAGCCGTGGCACCGGCTCCGACAGGAACACCTGTATGTGCCGCTCCACTTCCTTGTGGAACGCAATGGCGCTTGGGGCCGGTGTGTTGGGCACGAATTGCCCTTCTAAGTGCTCTGCCAGAATGTCAGCTCTGTCTTGGGCTGCAACGTGCTTGCGCCCATCGCTGCCCACGAGTGGACATATGAGCTGTGATGTGCGGCTGATCTACCGGTTGAGGTGGTGAAGGGAGGTCTGCGACTCAATACGACGCTCCCACCCTTCACCCCTGTACGCCTTGATGGCTGCCGATAGCTCGTCCTTGAGCCGATTGAGTTTTGTCTTCACTCGTGGGCAGCGGGTGCGGGCCCACAGCTTCCTAAGCTCCCTCTTCTCGTGCAACCGATCGAGGAGCCTACGCGGGAGCGTCTTTTCGGTGCACCTGCGGCCCCGCTTTGGTCGCCGCGCGCAATTCTTCCTGTATTTTACAGGTGATTTTGCGCGCGGCCTGTTCCACGTCTTCCGCAGTTGAGATGGGTGCACCGAAGCTAAATGGGGACATTGCCCTCGAATAGGCTCCCCAATATGGTCCTATATTTAGGGCCTCTGGGAGCCAGTGAGTCCGCAGCCAGACTCAGCACGATGAGCACAGGGAGGTGCTGCGTGTCCGCATCGTACAGCACCTCTACCTGGACAGGGCATGGCACTTTGTGGCAGAGCAAGATGTCCAGGACATCCGGAACATGATCTTCAATGGTGGGTATGTGTGTGGGCTCGTCAGGGCCTAGCACTTCATAACCCACCTCCTCGGCATCTTCGTATCTGCCTGCGGGGGTCTCAATCCTCGATCCCCACGATGGATGCTTGGCGTTGAGATCCCCGCTTTAATGGCAGGAGTGTTGTCGGAAACATATTCCGGATGTCACTGGCGTTGAAGGGCAAGCCGGGCGGGCGATACGCAGCGAACATACGTATCTCTTTTCCGCCCGCGTGGAGGCATACTCCTATGGAGCGCGTGCTTGTAAAGCTGCGCAGCTCCTCTTCGTCGTGTACTAGGTCCCGTCTTACCAACACGGCCGTACCTCTATAGGCATAGCCGTGGTCTGGGGAGATTTCATCCCTACGGTACACGACGAAGTTCGATAGGCGGAACGGCTGAGCCGGACGGAGCTTGGTTTCCCCGAGCAACACAACTTGGATGTTGTGCTGCTGAACCAGCATCCTTAGTGCCGGGAGCCGTTGCTGTATGCCTCCAGGGTTCCAGTACATGGCCCTAATTTGCGGCGCCATTTTGTTACCGCGGTCAGGGATTTTATGGCGTTGGTCAGCGCCGTTAAGGTCCATCGCGACGGGTAATCGTTACCCGAGACAAGGACATCCCCCAAGATGCGCGTCACCAGCCGGATTAACTGATTAATTGCCTCCTCTATTCCCTGCGCGACGTATGCGGAGTCGCGGGAACGGGAGGCAATGGCGTGGTGGGTGGGTGGACCCCTTTGCAGTAAGTGTTGCGGACGTGGCCCACCCATCGATAATCAATTATCGTCAAGAGAACATAAAGAAATGATTTAATAATAGACAGAAAAAAAAACTATATTTCTAATTATGTTAGAGCTACGCACCAAATTTTACTGGCCAAGCTTGTGTGGGGAAGTACCACGACCCTATAGAAGACCGGCGTGGAGTAGAAGTGATACTTATATGATTCATTAGTAAAGTAACCGGGCTCATTATTTTAAATGTTGGTAACGCATCTGCAACTCTTCAGTATTTTATTCATGTTGTACTATTGTATAGCCTTATACCTGGTGAGCGACCTGCTTGCATAACAGCTTTTCACATAAAAGAACATGAACGAAGAAACAAAACCATTCAAAGCGGACTCCTTGAGTAAAAAGCTAAGTGGAGATTGTTAACCGACTTTCATATTAAAGAAAAATGAATTACCTGAGTGAGATACTCTCCCTTGTGACGCGAGAGGGCGCGCACCAGCACCACAGCCACAATGATCAGCAGCAGGAAGATGAACACTAGCACCGCTGTAAACACATGTGCAAATTACAATCTCATACGGAAACTCCTACAGAACATAAAAATATTTGAAAAGACATTAATAGGGCCTAATAATATCTACGGATAAGATACAAATGTCACATTTTTCTCATTGAATAAAAAGTTACAGTTGCCGGCCAGACTGACAAGACTTTATACAAGAGCAAAGGCCTCTAGTAGCAATGGTGTTAGAAAATAGTAAGGCACATATTTCCATTTCAAATTTGTGAAATTTACTCATCTACATTTTCAACTTTATTTCATGGATTTCGTCTAGAAGTTTTTGCAATTAACAGTTTTATTGGTTCCAGCAATAGTATGTGTCACGGCACAGTATGCTGAAGTAAACTTTAATTAAATGAGCATCTGGAATCATTGATATTCCAATAAAAACATATATGATGTCATAACACACATTTCCCATTATGAAATCTACTAAGCAGTAGGCAAATTTTTCTTCATAAGTTGACCTGATGATCAATCATATCATAGTTGGTTGTTTTGTATACATATTTCACTTGTTATACACACTATATTATATTTGTGTATATGTATATGTGTTTGTATGTAATCATACATATTAATCTATTTTTTTTATAGATTTTAAAAAGTGTTGTGTTAACTGTACAATTACATTATTTTGTGTCGTTAAGACTAAGAATAACAATTTCGAACGATGGCTCCGTGGCGCAGTTGCCAAGGTATTGGCTTCGGCGTCGGGGGTCGTTGGTTCGATTCCCACACGGGACAACTATTTGTGTGACCCACAGATAGTTGTATCGCATCTGGGTGTTTGCCCATGTGAAATTTATGTTTGTAAAATTACCTTACAACACAGGATACTGTTCCAAAGTAAGGGTAATGTTTTAAAAAAAAAATCACTAGAACAAATACATAAATTCGAAACTATTATCTGTGGGTCCCGCGTGGGAATTAAACCGCAAACAGCTGTCATCAATATTCGTTTTAATTTTTTTCTTTACTCTTACACCTACTTCCTTTATCTTTGCATCAAATCATTGTTTGACTGGTAAGCATCGATACATAAGATTTGCGTAAAAGTTAAATAAATTAATGGCGATTAAAGTATTAAAGTTTAGCGTTTTGTCTGCTGAGGAGGTCGGGACCTCCTTTTGAAAGGTTGTGAACGCATCTCCTAGTTATCGGGTGTTTAGTAGTCATTGAGGCGGTGAGCCCCGCCTGCTCGGTCGACACGTTAATATAAGAAAGGCGGCACTGACTGCCCAGGATGGCCTCGTCGGTGCGGTGGAAGTCCAGATCGCGCTGCAGGTCTACTGCGGGCGGCGGCCTGGTCTCGGCCGGCTCGGGCGGGTGCGTCACCGGCTCCACGCCGCAGAAGTCCTCGTGCAGGATCCCGCCTGGCCCAAAGGGTGCGTGCAATTCGAATATTATTACTCGGCCGCTGCGCTATTACGAAAAGTCTCACTTCACATTGTACATATAACAATTGTAATGGTCAACATATTGTAATGGTTTGTGTTGTTAATAGTATCAGCTAGGTTTTTTTTTATCTTATATCTGGTACATTTAGTGTACCAACAATTACCTTTCCGTGTGCGAATCGAATCCACGAGTCACGACGTTGAAGCTAATAGCTTACTGTACCGTCTACAGTAGAGACAACTAACTCCATTACTATTTTTTAACACATTTTCGTTCGACAAAATTGCGAAATTATGTCGACAAAAAATGTGAGAGGTCAAAATAGGTTGATGCTCAGTCTGTAGGTGATTTCGTATGAAAAAATTATTCATATGTGAAAAAATCTTTCATTTCATATATCGATATTTTCAGCCGATATATTTGGATCCGATATATAAATAGAAAATATTCAATGGCGAAAATCGCATCAAAAATGACATTTTTTCACATTCGAATCCAGCACAGAGTCCTTAGGCATTCAATCTTTAATACTAGTCATACCTTTTTTTGGACAGAGGGGTTTTTAGAACCTAAAGAAAAAATATCGATATATCCTTTTTTTCTCTTTCGCCATCCCTGGTGCGTGTGCGTGCGTGTGCGTGTGCGTGTGCGTGTGCGTGTGCGTGTGCGTGTGCGTGTGCGTGTGCGTGTGCGTGTGCGTGTGCGTGTGCGCGCATACGCACCGATGGTGCGCACGTTGGGCGGCGGGTCCTGCTGGAAGAGCAGCTTGAGCGGGTAGATGTCGTCGAACTCGACGCGGCTCACGCAGCCCGCGAAGCCCTCGCTCATCGACTCGTTGCGCCCGATGTACATGTACTGGATGTTGTTAAACTGCGCGTCCGCGGACTCCTTGATGTTGAACCGGTACTCCTGCGTCTCGTAGTTGTCCACCTGCGAACAGACGACGCCTCTTAGACCCGCCTCCGAACAATGAGCCCATAAATCTGACGGCAGGTCACAACCACGACCTCTCAGAAGACCGGCGTGAAGTGGCAGTTTGACTCGTACTTCTGCGTTTCGTCTGTGGTGATAGTAGCCCAGGCCCATTTTATTACAAGGTGGCAACGCATCTTGCAAATGTCCATGGGCGGCGGTTATCACTTCACAACGGGTGAACCGCCACCTGCCTTGCCTCCTTCTCAAATTAAAAAAAAGTCTGATTGCTTATGCGACAGGTTTATGACCTTTTTCGCTTTTCAAGTATCAAAATAAATACATTCTCTCTCTCTCATCTAACACTATTCAAATGATTTGTGTGGAAGAGGTTGAGTGGTAAATCCCAACAAACACTGCAACCTAGAAGATCTATTATAGTCTTATCTATCTCAATGTATCACTCTGATCTTTTAGATTTTCTATTATTTTATAATAGAAATAGATTCATGATAGTGAGGAATGCACTCACCTGCAAAACCATGGTGGCCCCGCTGTCCTTGCGAGATAGTCTGACGTCGTGGTACTGGCCCAGGCCAAAATGCTTGCCCTGGAAGATTATCTCCTGCCGCTCGAACCCAAAGTCGAATATCACTCGCAAATGGCCTGTTCAGATGAAATCAAAACAGAAAGCTTTAGTTAAGGTAAAAAATTAAATTGAAATCAAGCCTTCAAGGTTCAAGCCGCTTGCTCAACGTTAACCCTCTTGGGAACACACACCCAGATCCGAAACAATTATCTTTGGATCGCACAAATACTTTTCTCATGTGGGAATTGAATCCACGACCCCCGAGTCGATGCAGATAGCTTTGCAATTGTGTTGCAAAACCTCAGTGTGAAGTAAGTAGGTCACTAATGCAAAATTATGTTTGGTGATTGTGGTAACCGGTGAGTGTCCATGACTGGCTGTATTACTTATTTTTTTCTTTGCTTGCCTATTATGTAAAATAAAATAAACTGACCCGAATTGGACACCATGAGTGTGAGGTACTCCCCGGTGATGTTGGAGAAGAAGCCGAGCAGGAATCCTTTGGGGTTGGTGGTGGTGAAGCCCACGCGGATCTTCTCGTTGATTGTTGATCTCCATGAACCGAGGAAGTCGTATTTAACCATTGAGTTCGGTCGAAGGTTCACACCGATTTCTGTAGATTAATAACTCTGTATTACATTTCTTATAAAAAGGCCCATCCCGAACGGGAAGTAGTATTTAGAGAATCACGATAGAAGGACGGACCGTCCGCGCAGATGGGCCCCTTGAAGGCGGTCCAGCGGCAGTCGCAGGCGTAGCCGTCGTAGCGCTCGAGGCAGGTGCCGTTGTTGAGGCAGGGCGCCGAGGCGCACTTGCCGCGGCAGCCCTCCGCTACGCCGTAGAGGCCGCGGCGCGCGTAGGCGCGCAGGTCGACGGCGCGGCCGCTGAGCAGCAGCGCGCGCACGCAGCCCACGAAGCCGTCGCCGCGGTCGAGCGCCGCGCCCAGCGCCAGCGCCGTGCTCAGCTGCAGCGCGCGCACCGGCTCCTTCGCCGTGCGGATCTCGTTCTTCAGCGCCCCGTCCACCACCACGCGCGCCTCCTTCCTGCGTTCCCATCGGTCAGACGACACGCCCGTCATGTGACATCCGTCATATGACACGCCCGTCATACGACACGTCCGTCATACGACACGTCCGTCATACGACACGTCCGTCATACGACACGTCCGTCATACGACACGCATCCATCATACGACACGCCCGTCATACGACACGCCCATCATATAGCACATCCGTCAATCGACACATCCATCATACGACACACCCGTAATGTGACACGTACGTCATATAACTCATCCGCCATTAACACATCCGTCATTCGAGTCTTCACCCCATTCAATATACAATGATAATCGGGAATGCGGCAACGATATTATGTCTCCATAAGTAGTAATATTGCAAGAAATAAAATCTGTGTATATGGATGGATGTGTGAAAAAGAAACATGTGGATGCGTCTAGGCGACCTGTTGCGCTCGATGGAGACGGAGTGCCAGTTGTCGTCCGCGAGGCGGCTGCTGGTCTCGACGGAGACGCCGAGCGGCGTGTCGCCCACCTGGAACTGGAACTGCAGCTGGTCCCCGCCGATCAGCGACAGCTTGATGTAGTCCTGCGGGCCCTGCGCACCACCGAGCGTCCATTTAATACAGACATTGTAAATAAATTCGTCCATTTACTAAAAATGTAGTAAATGACGGTCATAATCTAATAAATAAGGGTTTTTATTAAACTGTCCATTTTCAAAATATTTCCAAATCACAGACAAAAGATTTTTGATGGAACCTAATAAATTTAACTTTGTGCATACATTGTTATATATACAAATTAAGCAAATAATTGATTATGAAAGTGTCTTTGTTATCCAAGAAGCAGCTTTCTAAGCGTTTACATCTGTTTACATTTTAGAAGGTAAACAAAAAATATGTTACTTATAAGAATACAAGTATTAGCTCTATTAATGATGTATACAACATTGCCTATTTTTAAATATCTAATCCATTCTGCAGTTTAGTACACTAATCTGTTTAAATCCACACTTCCATAGTAATATTACAAATGCGAAAGTAACTCTGTCTGTATGTCTCGCTTTCGCGCCAAAAGTACTCAGCGGGCAATGGACCTTTGCGTGCAGCAGCACGGCGTTCTCTTGCGTGGTCCTGAACTCGAAGTAGATGTCCCCGCTGTGGCCCAGGTCGAAGGTGGGCAGCAGGATCACGGCGTCGGACACGCGGAACGTCACCGCGTTGCTGAACAGGTCTGCACCGACACACGACAGTTATAAAATAACGTCACATTCACGTTATATTTGGCCACCGCTAAGAGAATACTAACGATTTGATAATAAACCCTATGAACAGATTTTATTTAAATTTTGACGCTCAAAATTCATTTATAAATTATTTAAAAAATAATGTTTTTAGATAAAGTTCAATTCTGTATCTCTTATTACATTTAATTAAACCTGAAACCATTAAAACCTGATTAATATCATAATCGCTATAAAATAAATATTTAATTCACTTGTATAATGATTTAAAGCCAACAAAGCCATTTAAACAAACACAGAGTTGTTTATGTTCTGTTATCTTTTTTCTGTTTTCCTTTTGTGATATTGCATGTTATTGATTTCAATTGTCACCATATTGACTGAATATATTAAAGTTATTGATACATTAGATCAAGCCGTGTTCAACACTATGGTGTTTTTGTAGTAGTATTCTTATTTTTTTCCCTGCTATGGCTCCAATAGCTGAAGGCAAGGCCACCATTGGTCAAAGATATTCAGTGATATATAGATAGTGATTTACAAAGCATTAAACTTGAGAAAGAGAATGAGTGGTAGATATATGACCGTCTCCCTCGCAGATGAGCGGGCCGAGCGTGTATCTTCCCTCCTTTTCGTCCAAGTGGCTGCCCGTGTCCCCGAACCTCAGCTGCTTCACGGGCAGGTACTCCTTCTCGGTGATCTCGCCCCCATCGACCTGGAACTCTGCAGGAGCGGAGGATAATGTGGTTTTAAAGAGCCAGATAAAAGATGCGGACATGCGAGTCAGGACAAGGCATGTTATGCAGCCCCTGGTGTATTTTTTATTCATTTCCAGCCAGTTGCAATATTCTATCCGTAGATTTAGTTACTAGAGTTAGAATTGTGACGAAATTATTATAGAGCTAATGTCAAATACCTATAGCTAGTAATCAAATTTATAGATAAATTATTGATAGCGGTTTTTTAATGTGAGAGGGTTTTAAACGAGGGAGGCAGATGTATTTTAAGGAATTGGAAGTTCACTCATCAGACTTAACCACTTCCCGTGGGTTTTCTGTGAGGCTGGTGGTTTTATAGTTACTTTTAATGAGGTGTTCCTTTATACGGTATGGCAATAAGTGGGGACGGGGGAAAGAACCCACCGTCCGGCTTGAGCGGGCTGTACTCGGCGTCGCAGTTGCACCACTTGGTGGGGTCTAGGCAGTCGCCCAGCACCCCGCACTGGCACATCCTGCTGCCGGGGGTGGCCCCCGCCCAGTAGTCCATCCGCTGCCCGGTGCGGGACACCCACCAAGCGAACGGCTGGAAGCTCGCCTCGTCGCCTAAACACAACACAATCGTGTGAGAATACGGAAATACGGAAGTGGAGATTAACTTTCGAATGTAGAACAATGGAAAAACTGATTTACTTGGATTAAGTTCTAAGAGATCATAAGTGTTTGAACATAATAGAAATTTATCTTATAAAGAAATTAAAATAATTACACCTCCCATTTTCTACAGACTTCAAAAAAAGGTTCTCAATTATGCTGTATTTTTTTATGTTAGTTATTTCAGAAATCTGTCATTTATGAAGTCATTACAACATTATTTTTACACTGATACGCAACACTACGAACAGCCTATGTAAAGTACATGCCCCACACTGTGTAGAGGCTTCCTCTGTACAGAGGGTAGTAGGGCATAGTCCATCGCCTCACTGCGGATTGGCGGACTTGACATGCATCCTAAACCGCTGAGCAACCGGGAGCGCTTCAGTGGGCACGAGCCCCTCCCCCCATAAAATAGCGCAAAAAAAGAAGGTTTCGCGGAGCACTGACTGGGCGAGTTGAGCAGGCGCGAGTGGCGGCAGGCGTAGTCGAGCCGCTGGCTGCAGGCGCGCGAGCGGTTGAGCAGCGCCTCGAGCTGGGCGCGCGACGCCTCGTAGGCCACGTCCTGCCGGAAGCTGCCCGGCTCCTGGAAGCCGTCCACCGGCCCGCCGCCGCCGCCCGCCACCTGCACCGCCGTCAGCACGCGCCCGTCCGCTGCGGCCAACGATTACAACGTGTCTTATACGGGGACACTTTTTTAAAGGTGAAAAATTAACCAACTTGATCACGCACTTTTTGAGATGACTTCGAATGAGTGTAATTAATTACTTAATAATTTTTTATACAACATTATTTATGTCTAGAGTTTAATTAAAAAAAGGAAAGCCTCCCTGTATATGTGACAATGTGTGCGGGGTCAGCGGAAGGGAGGCGTCGAGAGCGGTGCGGCACTCACAGTAGAACTCGCAGGTGACGGGGAAGGCGGGTAAGGGGCCGGAGCCGTCCACGTCCACCAGCACGTCGGCGGAGCGCGACACCGCCTGCGCGTTCTTGTAGGCCTGGCACGACAGCGGGTGCACCGCTGCGGACGGTAACGAGCATCGGCTTACCTCACGTGAAAGGGAGGCAACTTTCAGTACAAGCACCGATCGTCCGGTATCTAAATTCAGGACGGAGCCTCCACTATTTAAACAGCAGCTTGGTTGTTTTTGTACTTATGTCAACGGCAAGGATCACGTGGTACGGTGGCCTTATGGTAGGTGATCATGGTGGAGTTACCACACTGTGGTGTAGAGACTTATTTGAATATACTTTCGAGTCGATGCACTCGTGCACTGAGCTGAAAGCATTTCTAAAGATAATATTATATAAGTCTTGAATTAAAAAAAATGTGGGAATAGGTGTGCCGCAGGGTCCAGCACTTGGTCCGCTGAGGTAAAGGACGTTATAAGCGAGGGATAGTTACAGGTGTGGCAGACGGCGCCAGCGTAGCCCGTGCCCTGGCAGTTGCAGGTGAACTCGTCGGCCGATTGGCTGCAGGTGCCGCCGTGCTCGCACGGGTTCGGGTTGCACCTGCAACGAAATACTGCGTTAAAACTGCCTTATGTTACTGTATTGTGAGAAGTAATCTATTTGAATTTCTAAACTTATCTCATTTGAGTATTTATATACATATATAAAGATGAGTATAACAAATATTTTCTTTAAGATTAGAGCCATTTCACAAACTTTGAAAGACGAAAACATTTTGTATGTGTGCTACCGACACAAACAAAATACAAGCGGCGTAGCGTGAATAACGAGACAGGCTCTTAAATTGTAAGTAATGTTAGAGAGCGACATCATATATGTCAGAGCACAGCGCGTATCGAACAGCCGCGCTCGTCACCTGTCGATCATCTGGCAGGCGTCGAAGACGAGCTCGCCGGGGCAGCAGTAGTCGTCCTTGGTCCAGTCGGCGGGCTGGCGGTAGTTGCCGTCGACGGCGATGTTGCGCATGCAGCCGACGAAGCCGCGCGGCGGCGCCTTGCCGCCGCCCAGCTGGTAGGTGTGGCCGGTGAGGAAGCGCAGCCGCGTGCTGGTGCGCACGGGCCGCCGGTCCAGCGCCAGCAGCAGCGCGTCCGGCGCCAGCGTGAGCAGCAGCGCGTGCCAGCGGCCGTCGTTCTGCGGCGCCGGCCAGCTGTCCAGCCGCACCGGCGCGCCGCCCGTGCCCAGCTCCACCTTCACGCGCCCCTCCTCCAGGTACACCTTGACGTGGCCGTCGCTCTTGAACTTGTGGTAGAGGAGCAGCCCGTGGTGCTCGTAGGTGCGGAACTCGAGCGACACGTTGAGCGAGCTGCCGCCCGAGTAGCCGCGCAGCTTCGCGTACGCGCCCTCCTTCAGGAACGTGATGGGCACCACGGGCGGCTCCTGGAAGTGTGTGGGTTCATGCAATATTTTCTCTTCAAATTGTAATTACATACAACGTACAATAAATATTTCCTTTTCAAATTAGAGTGAGGGCAATTAGGACTTAAGTAGCATTGATTACGTTCATTTGAAAAGTTCGCTCCTAATGACTCATTGAAATTACTCCACTTGACATACCATCATGACCATTTCAGTCTTTTAAGTTCACCTCTAAACTTACCACCAACTTGACACGCTATTTAAGTTTTTGTGTGCGAGCAAAAAAATATTCAATTATTGTCCGGAACGGAATGTTTATCGTCATTCATCAGTTACCCGATTAAATTTCACTTTCAACAATAATACTAGTGCATATTTTGCAAGCTAATTTAATATTTTTCTATTGAAACTCACTGGACAAGCATAGAGTGTGTTGACTTTCTGGTACTTGAAGGGCTCCCCAGACTCGTAGCCCTGCTTGAGCTCCTGTATGACGTTGGTCGCGTTCACGTAGAAGTTTTCGACGCAGCCGGTGAAGTTCTGGTCCACCATCAGGCCCTCTTGGAGATTTGGCACGCCACCGATGTACAACTGGACGAACAGACAACACTCTTTATATCCCTATTTTGCAGATTTTCAGATTACTAGGCAGACAATGACATACCTTAAGCCTTCATCAACAATATTCAGACAGCTGTCAGATAAAGTATTTGCAATTAACATATAAAAATGTAGGGCCTGTTGGCATTCTTCACATACACCGTAGCTTAACATAAGTTTTAATGTGATATTTTGTTATAAACATTTTTTCAAGTTAGAATTACATACCTAATTGTTTTAAAGTATATAATTATTTATTATAAAAATGTATAATTATTTTATAAGTTGAACAAAAATATTGGTAACCCAATAAGAACGCTCCAATAAACAGCCAATCAGAGCATGCACGCTATTGTAAGTGTTGGCGGGGGGAACTGCTCTGATTGGACAAGATAATCTAGGTGCTATACACCCATAATGGTTTGTGGTGCCCAACATGATGTATAAACATAGGCCTTTTAAATTGCATAGGGCACTTTAAGATTTTCTCCGAATAAAACAACTACTAAAACCTACTTCTCCACCTCTTCTACAGGGCCACTTTCGGAAACTAACCGTTTAGAAAACAGTAATTTTTAACAAAATCATTGCAGAATCTGAAAGGAATCCAGGTTTGACCTTACACCTGGACATAATTATAATTACAAAGAGCTCAGGTCTTCCGTTGGTTAATACTCACGGCCCTGTTCAGGTTGAGCCTGGAGAACTCGCCCTTGATGCGGCCGGTGACAACTACGCGGTCCACGGAGAAGATCACGTCTCGGCGGTGCCTCGAAATCACCACGTCGTGCCAGATGTTGTCGTCCAGCAGGCTGCCCACCGACAGCGAGCTGCCCACGCCCGAACCTTGGAAAATCAAAAAAAAATCAAAATCAAATGTCTCTATTCAACATGGGAATATTACACTCGCTTATTGAGCGTCAAAACACTACCACCGTGCTGAGAAGAACCGGCGAAAGAAACTCTGAGACATTTTTTTGTGTGAAAAGTTGTGATGTTAACTGAATATCGCCCATGGGCATGGCCATTGACAACCTTTAAAAAATTCGACCCCGGTTAACTCACACCACAGAAGAAACGACAAAGTTTAATACTTATACTTCGATCATATGTGAGGCCGTCGTACTTACCCAGACAAGCCCATTACAAGGCCATTACAACAGCAGAATCTGAACCCTACACCCCATGTAGCCTATTCAGGAGAGAGTGTGTTCACATTTAGCATCAAGTTAGAATTCCATTATGTTATCATTTGTGTCGACCAAATCAAGTTACAAAACAAAAAGTAACAAATACTGAATCATTAAATGCAACAAATCAATACAGTTACATTATGCTAAGTGCTTGAATGTTTGCCAGTAACAGTCTCATAAAACTGCGTCTATATGACGACTGTTTTCATAAATTTGAAACTAGATCAAGGTTGCTTACATACTTCAGACTCCGCTCAGTAATACAGGCATCTCTTTTGAGTTTTTTGTTTGACTTATTTTAATTTTCAACACTAGTATAATGGGCCATTAGACTATTAACGTTTTTTCACATGTGGTTATTCCACTTAAAGCGGTTGCCAAACTTAAATATGGACCCAGGATACCTCACTGATCAGACGAAACCATTGTCGATTTTTTTTTACTTATGGTAGCTTATATAAGTAACAAACAAATTATACCTCAACCTTTTATTTTGCTATTCTCAATGCCATTATAACAGATTGCTAACCTAGCCTGACTAGGTCATTCGCAACCACAAAACAATAATGTATTTGTGTTATAAACCACAATATAGCGGATCACGACCTCGCTCTTTATATCTCTTTCAGCACATCCGCCGTGCTTTCGAGCCCACAAACAAAGCCTTCATGCCTTTAGCCTTGATGAGATAAACAGATTAAAATATGGTGTGCACTCAATCAAGTCCCAAAACGTGTCAAAAAAGATTTCATTAATGATGATAAAAGTACTAATAAAGTAGTAGGACTAATAAAGAGCCCTGCGGAACACCAGTGGCTAAATCAATTAACGAGATCGTGACAAGTACGCATTTTGTGGGATCGCTAACAAGTTATTGAACTTACAGTTACAATAAGTGCTCGTAACCTTTGTGAGTTGTTGTTACCCGTTCTTGAAGGAAATGCTTGTTGTAGTGGAAGGTTATGATTCAGCTAACCCGTGAATGATTGAAGTGCTTGTTTATTTATACCAGAGAGAGTGAATATATGATAGGGAGAATATATCGAGAGAATAGAGATGAGGAAGGATGATAATCCTACTATGTAATATTGTATACAGCGTGTCGTTTCCATCGCGACAATAAATTAACACACGTCTAACGCTACTTGCCAATAATCATAAAAAAATATTAACGTTAAACAAAATGCATAATTTAAAAAAAAAAATTTCAAACAAACTAATTAAGTAAAAAAGAAACAAAATTTGTAACATCCTATACAACTAGCGCCACAGCGTCGCATTACAAGCCTCTCCTTCTAACAGTATGTTTTGTCTCTTTCAAATTCATTCAACCCATTCATATGCTCTGTGACCTTTACAAATGAACTTTACGTTACAGTTTTATACGTAAGAGTGTTCTAAAATTCTTTGTTTCGGAAAATTTAATAACTCCGTTAATATTGATGTTTAAAGAATGTAAATGTTTAATATAATTTTAAAAAGTTATCCCCTATATGTGTGTTCATTTATTGTCGCGATTGTAAAGACACGCTGTATAGAGGTGACTGGGTAAGGTTAGTAAGTTTATTATTGTAACTGGATAACTGACACGCCTGTTTATGCATACTAGAGAGAGTGGAGGATATATGAAAAGGGGGGGTCAGTAACCATATTACTGTATTAGACAGCAACTCACCCAGGTCTATGTTGAGCACGAGACGGTTGTCTCGCAGCTGCAGAGCGATGTAGTCGCCCTGGGTGCCGCGGGAGTAGAGCAGAGTGCCCGACGCGGCGCTGGTTTTGAACCGGAACCGGACCGCCTCACGGGAAGCCGACACGGGCGCCCGCAGCAGATCCATGCGGACCAGCGACGACCCGTTGAAGTACAGAGTGTCGGCCACTGCACGGATATATTAAAGACGGAGGTTAAGGCATTTTAAAGAGGACTACAAAAATAATCATATGTTTTCGACGCTGGATGGCGGTTCTCTTCTGACCAGATGTTTTACTTTGCTATAAAAATAAGGGTTTTTTTTGCTGTGCCGAATTTCGGCTAGGCCGTAAGTTAACATTGCAAGAAATCAGATAAGCTGGCGATTATCTGAAACGAGTGAATTTTTTCGCGAAAAAACAACATATTGTGTATATTATTTGTGGTGAATTAAGAAAATAATATAATTTGGAAAGAGTGATTGATATTGGAAAATATTATCAACAATTACAAAAACATCGTGGGTTATTTTTACTATATTAATCGATAATAAACGATAGAAAATACGATTATATAACTGCTCTATACACAGAGTTCATTAATTTTAAATCTTTATTTGTATTGCTTTAACTCAATAAAGAATAAATTAATTTTTGAACTATTACACTCAATTCAATATAATTGTAAAGAGCAACTTTGGGTAAATAACGAAAAATTACAAAATACTGTTTAATTACTCATTAATTACTGGGTATTAATTACCATAGTCACATCCATAGATTTCTACCCGCATCGATATCTTGTCCCTCCATCGCATCGGGTTTATCCTTATGTATTGCGCTATTATGGGCACTTCGAACTCATTCTTCTTCACCGTATTTCCATCGTGGTTACCCTCGAACATCTGAACGCAACCAATTCGCATCCATTGTTATATCCTTTCCAGCATACAAACAATTTTGAATATCATTTTACAACGATAATTCGAACGAGAGATGTCATCATTGAATTTTATTTATTTTATAAATTTAAATTGTTTATAGTGGTAATCTTTGCACTTAAGATAGAATTAATCATTAAAGTATGTAGAAAAAGTACGAAAATTATTATTGCTAAAAGTTAACACTAAGACTCGAGCAGGTGCTAAGCTATTCGGTTCGGCTTCGGCTTGTTAGTTGTGTGACCCAAAGGTCAAGGACAACTAGTTGTGTGATCTGGGTGTTCGTTCTCAAAGAGTGTTGACGTCAGAAATGCGGCTGGTCGTAAAAACCTAGCCAATACGATTAACAAGATATTTCACAAACATTAGGGAGAGAAAAACAAATTTCTAATCCTAACAAAAAAACTTGACAAACCCAGAAAAGGGGCCGTTAAAAGTATCCGAATAAACGAGCTACTCTTAACCATTGTTCCCACATGTCCAAACAGTCTCGGAGTATTTTAACAACTTAAAAAATCTAATCATAATCATCATGATTTCAGCCTCTCCAATGCTGAACACCGAACATAGACATCCCGTATGAGAACAAGTGGCTCAAGACCATTAATTCAAATGTCCAATTTCATTCAATGTGTTTGTCACTTGCACACATAGGTTTTTGATGCGGGATAGAGTTAGCATAAATATGGACATAAATCGTTAAGCGGCCGTATTTTTCCTCACTAATAAGCCTAATTTTACACCGCCAAAGAATTAGGCCTTGGCGTTTGAAATATATGTCAACTTGTTAGCACTACCCTTTTCTGGGAAGAACTTGATTTTACAATCAGACAGACGGACATCAAATTGAGGATAAAATGTGTAGCGGTCTTTTATTGACTGCTACCTATAATGCTAAGGGCCCTGGCTGTGTCACATATGCCACAAGTGCCACATATGCCCGTTGGGTATAGATGACAATGCGTTATCTCTAAGAACCACGACAACGGTTACCATGGCCACCAATAAACAGCCGGTAATCGTAACCATTTACCGGTGACCGCATTTACCTGCACATCGCCGTCTGATGAAGAGACGGCCCTCCAACTCTCGCCATCGTCTGAATACAGGAGCATATACTCCGAGACATACTCATCGGTAGCGTAGCGCCCCCTCGTGGCGATGGCGCGCAACTCTTTGCGGGCTAACATGTTAATTGTTAGGTGCTGGTAGTAAGAGCTTTCCTTCGCCGTCCATGCCGATGACCCTTCACCGTGTTACCAACAGTCATTAGTACTGTACAGCCCGAAATGTTAAGGAATATCTTTGCGAAGAGGAGGATGTACATACAGATATGTGAATAAGAATTTTTACTGAAACACCTCTGTGCCACTTGGATTAGCTTAATGAATATATATATTTATTAGTAATAGCTTTAAATTACTTTTTTTTAGCTTAAAAAAATTACCACCTACATCTCATGGATTAGTTTTTATATTGCTGACTCAGTTATACATAATCAGTATACACAATAAATCTTAATATAAGACAATAAACAAATTAATCGTACACCTCAAATCTTTACTACCCAAACTAAAAAGCCATACAATCTCTACATGCACAAAAATATAATTAAACTACAGTTTTTAATCCAAAAATCGGTGAAAGGTTATTCTTGTTATAATCATCCAAAAATTGTTAATCTGGTTAGTAATCGCATCCTTTTTCCCGTCAGCGATTTACCTTGACCTCGCCACCCGCGGCTTTGTACCGCGCATAGTCAAGTCCGTTGGAGCCATAGCTTATATGGTACTCCTGGACAAACTCTTGGGAGTGGGCGCGGCCCTGCGTCGCTATTCTTGTTATATTCTTAACGGCCCCAAGGTCTATCACTAGTTGCTGGTCGAAATCGCTTTCCGACGCCGTCCACGCATTCAGACCTTGCGTTTGATACATTGCATTTTATATTCAAAACAGAAATCAAATACCATTTCGAGTTTCGAAATTGTTCATTTAATAAAATAATACAATAATGGGTGTTAAGCATGCCTATGTCTACAACAGTGAGAAGCAATTGCTGTTTATTAACTAAAAATCCCTTAAAATATACCCAAAGACAAAAATCACAAAAACCCCTTATTATAAATCCTTTAAGTTCCATTCAGTATTCCATAACTTTGTATTCCTTCAATTTTTTGTTAATGAGATCGCGTGCGAACACCGGATCAGGCTCACACAACGGTCTCGCTTCCACAGTCAAACCTTCAAAATTGAAGAAGGTATAAGGCATAGGCTTGTACTCTGCATTTACTCCGCTTGTACTCTTATCATGTTGCATAGAAACTGCCACAGCATGTTTCTTATCAAGTAAAGTCTCTTCAAAAACCCAATCGTCCTTGAGAATACCTTTCTCATGTAACTTCGTATCAATCACTATTTGACCAACATTAAGTGGGGTTCGAACAGAAAAACTAATTAAATCAAGTGGAACTGTTATCCCCATGCCAATATTTTTTACGTAGCTCTCTTTAAGGCACCACATACGGTAGAAACAGGACACCTGTTGCATCTCCGTTGGAAAACTACGTATTGTTGACCATTCTCGCTGAGAAAATTGTCTATTCATTATACGAAAGAATTCGGGAATATTTTTGTTTGGGGGCGGCTCTATTTTCATAACATCTATGCCAATATTTCTATTCATGTTACCAGCAAATACTGTGTAATCCCCTTGATGAGATACATTAAAATTTGGTAAAAGGTTAGAATTCAGTAGATACGGCTTGTTATTACTATCTCTACCCAATATGATGCTTTCATATGGAACGGAAGTAGCCAAGTGGACATATTTCCTCATAAAAAGTCTTCCAATTAGTGAAGACTTTGCATCGTCTTGAAAAATAAAACGAGATATCCTTTGTTTCTCCTCAGACTGAATATAAGTAGAGGCTGCTAATATTTCTTGCTCCGTAGGCTGCCACGAGCCTACATTAAATGCCCATCTAACATTCTCATACTCCATATTTGCTATGACGTAACGCCCAAAGTTTCTTTTACTTCTCTGTAGTGTCAACAGTATAGTGGGGGTCCAATTACTGATACTTTTATGGCATATATGGACCTGCAGATGAATTATTCCTTTAAGGTCTCATATAAGGTTTTTTGCGACTTTTACATGATTTAAATATTACAAAGAAATGGCATTTAAACTACACACAGGCATGCTTAAAATTATATAAATGCATTAACATACAAAAAATATTTAAACACACAAATAATGTAACCAAAAGAAAACTGTCTCTAGAAATTAAAAAAAATTGGAATGTTTGATATTGTTTCTTATATTAATAAATTAATAAGACTTGTGTCCACATGAATGTTTTTGTTCATACTGCCAAAATTTTATAAAATGATATGAATAGAATAAAACTTATTTACTTGTATTATTCACACAATTAAATATTTATATTTGCATGTTATCCAACTGTATTCATATAAAAAGAAAAGGCACAATTAAAATTTAACAATACATTGTACATAATCATACTTATTGTCAGTGCAATTAAATGCAATCTGATATAGTTTTCTACTTTAAATAATGGTCCTTAAACAAATTGTTTCATACAATAACCAAAACTTTAGCAACCTTTGCCTAAAACAAAATTTGCTGTGTATGCTTAACCATTCTACAAAAGCGGGCTTCATATTTAAAATTTATGATGACGGTTGTAATTAAAAGCTTACCATATAACTTCGCATTCTCTGGTCCTCTATCCCTTAAACTGGAAGTAGCACTTAACTTAGCAGTGGCCACGAGAGGCTCGTTGCATTCATAATCGTAATAATATCTTCCCGAGTCTGGAGATAAAAATGAAATTATTCGTAAATTCAACTGTTTTTAATTAGAAGCATAGTTTAAATTTGTGTAATTTGGAAACTAAACGTACCTGCTTCACAATTTGTTGCAATATATAATAAAGCAATAAAATAATACACGAAAGCACTCATGATAATGTCATAGTTTATTCTAAATTATTAAATATACAGTAGTATTAACAGTCAATAAAGTATTTGAACGCAGGGCTGAAGGCAGAAGTACCGGACAAAATCGTTTGATCATTACGCTTACTTAGCGTTACTTCATTGCTTGTCAGTTGTCATAAAAACCGACCGGACAACACCCTAGTCTTATTAGATAGGTTAGCTAATGCAACAGCACAGAACCAAATTGCGACCAATAGACAGCTTGATGTGGCGATGAAGGACCAATAAAATTAAGAATGAATAAAAAGCAGTAAATGTCGGTGAATTTCAAAATATTAACTATGACAACAGATATATAAAAGTACTCTTTGTATGACAATTTTTATTATTTATCTGACAACCGACTTTCATAGTTTCGTGGAATAGTAAAAAAAAGTAAAGTAAAGTAACAACCTATACATGTCCCATTGCTGGGCAAAGGCCTCCTCTATATAGAGGGTATCAGGGCATAGTCCACCACGCGGCCCCACTGCGGATTGGCGAACTTCACATATCTTCGAAATATTTTTTTTTGTTATTATTTCGAAAATATGCAGGTTTCCTCACGATGTTTTCCTTCACCGCGGAGCACGTGATAAGACAGCACTTAAAGTTAAAAACTTCATTGGTGCCGGCACCGGGATCGAACTCAGGTTGCTCGAGTATTGTGAATTAAAGGCGAGCGCCCGGACACTGAGCTATCACGACTCGTGGAATAGTCCGTGATTAAAAGCCCCGCGGAATCAGGTGAAACACGTACCTGGTGCATGCCGATGTTACAAATACGATGACGTGGTCGGCGAACGAAATAATGATCAATTCATAATTTGGGGGTAAGACTTGATCAATGTGTCCCTTATTTTCATATGCATTTCTTCTAAGCATTCGCCTACTAGGGTATTTATTATAAATTGTAAGAAAATAATAATGCAATATGTTGTGATCAGTCGCATTTGGGTTGGCAATTTTATATTGGCGTATAACGCCAACTTGATTTTAAAGGTCCTAGCGGTTATCGGCACACCTATATAAGGAATGATGGAGGAAATTACCAATCCTTTGGAATCATCCACTCTCAATAGATGGTATGGGAGGCTATAACAGGGCTCCATGGAATCAAAATTAAAATCTATGATGTCAAGGAGTCTTTTTTTAGCGAATTTTAGCGGGTATGCCATACAGAAATCACCCTACGTGACTGTCTTTCTGGAAATCGTCACTGAGACGATTAAAGAGTATATGCTCCGTGAGGTCGAACTGCTTGTAGGGAATAAGATTTAATATTTAAATTATATTATAATATAGTAAAATTCTGTAGGTCATTACTGGCACACACATTGAATGAAGACTTTAGTCTTTAAACATTGAGGAATAAAAAAGAAGATATGCCGAAGTTTCCCGAACGCTGACTTAGAACTTCTGAACTGAGACCAGGTCCTACACTGCTGATCATATGAGGATGCTCGAAGTCGCTCAGCAAACTATGTTTGGTATTTCTTTGCGTAATAGAATTCGCAACGAAAACATCAGCAGTAGAACAAAGACATAGCTCAGAGGATTAGTAAACTGAAAGTTGTAGTAGAGTAGTAGTAGTAGCGATGGGACCCAACAGCCCATCGCTACTATTTTAACAACAAAAATGTTTCCTAAAATAGTATCTAAAACACATTCTACAAGCCATATAGAAGCTCATAGAACCGTTGGGAAAAAAAGGTTCTCGAGTGGCAGCTTCGTCTGCCCATTACAGTGTAGGACGAACACTACTATATTGAGTGACAAGCTTTGTATGCAATTCTGCGGTAAGTCGATGGATACAGGTGGCTCATAATAATGCTTCGTAGGAGTCTGTGTTGGAGATCTATTTTCAGCAGTGCGTGTAATGCGACCCTGTGTAAACGAAAGAAAATTCTCCGAATGTCGGAATCAGTCAGTTGTAGTCGTATAAGTGTAACAAATTTTGTTTCTTTTTTACTTAATTAGTTTGTTTCAAAAAATGGATTTTTTAACGTTAATATTTTTTTATGGTTATTGGCAAGTAGCGTTAAACGTGTGTTCATTATTCTCGCGGTGATAACGACACATTGTATAGTAATGTTTTATTTAGTTAAACATTGACGAACTTGAAAGGGAACAGAGAATACTGTAATTGTTTTCTGTAATTCTTACATTATAATAAATAATTATTGTTGTATAATAATTTAACAATTATTGTTGAATAATTTAACAATTACATTACATGATAATGGTACGTCCTAAGACTATGGCATTGGCTTGGCAATGGCAACATTAAGTTTTCATTTGCGATGTGAATGTGAAATTTTTCTAAATTATACCATTTTTCAGCAAATCTTAAACAATCTAATAAGTTTTTATCATTCCATTAATTTTTAAACGAAAACAGTAAATATATTTTTACTAATTTATAAACATTATTATTTGACGATTTATTCATCGTCTCTTTTAAGCGGAGTACCTACTTCTTTCCCGTTAGCTGTATTTAATTCCATATTTTGTGATCGCCACGTTAACGGACAATCCCTACGAGTTAATAAAAAGAAGATGTTTAATTAAAGATAAAATTAAAGAAATTCCTAAAGGTAAATGTTGTCTTAAAACTGTGATGAGTCATTTGCCGATTACTGCGGACATTCCGGAGTCTCCCTTACTTCGTAAATAATCAATATTTACTCGTATACATATTGTGGTTAGATTCGACATTTATTTAAGAAGTTATAAAAAGTGAAAAATTTTAACTGGTTTACTGTTAATAAATCTAGAAAAAAAATATTTTTATGTTTTATGTCTTTCACTAGCACAGCTTGTAAGGTCATATTAGAGCAACTGAAACAAATATACATTATAGGTACAATTATTATACCATAATATGGAGAACGCAACTTATTTATATATAATAACGATTATGTAAACAATGTAAAAACTAGGTACAAAATATATAAAAATGGTAATTTTTAAATAGTAATTTAAAAAGAAATACAAAAATTCATCATATTTTTAGTAGAATTTGGCTTGAATTTTCATAGGTATTAAAAAAAAGAACATATATAAATCATACAGTGGAGTGTTTAAAGTAATGTATGCTCATTATGTTGTTGCTTTTTATAGCCTGTTTAAAACTATTTTTTTTCTAAAAATTTCAAATACTTATCATACAGAAGAGCAGATAGTTCATTTATAATATTTAAATTTACAGCTTCAACCATGTCCAGTATGTCTGATCGTAAGGCTGAGTTGGAGAGGAAGAAGGCTAAGCTTCAAGCTCTAAGAGAAGAAAGAAGATAGGCGCCGTCGTGAAAAGGAACAAAAAGATGCGGAAGAGGCTCTGGTAAATACATGTACCAGTTTTCTTCTTATCTATATCTTTTTTTTCTTTAATTCGCCATTTGGAATATAAATGTTTTTATCTTATAAGTTGTCAAGCATGAAGTAGGTTCACCTGATGTTAAGTGATTACCCCCCTTCTGTAGACATCTACAGAACCCAAGGGCTAGCAAATGGGTATGAAAACCTTACAAGTCAGTGAGCCCAAGTTACATCACTCACAGTCGAACTTTAATATTTTTTACAGCTTTTTTTACTTTACATTATTTACTTACAGCAAAGAGCATCTGTGGCTTCGAGCCTGGACAGCCGGCGAGACCTCGATGAAATGCTGTCATCTCTAGGAGTGGCACCCGTTAAGGATGTTTTGTCATCTCTGTCCTCCATGACATCACTCACTCCACCACAGACTGCTTCGCCAGATGCAAGCCTGCCACACACAGACAAGTCTTCTTTGCTCTCTCAAGGGTAAATTATTATTTCATTTTTATTCTAACTTGTCTGTATTTTGAAGTCTGACAAATTATAAATCCCAATTAAATGCAAGTTTTCCAATAAGTTTATCAAATATACAGAGGCCAGAAGAAACCTGCGCAGTTGCAAGTAGTATCTGTGCAATCCACTGACATTCCACCTAAGGAGAATGTTACTTATGCAAAGCAAACACAGACCACGGCCTCTGGGGTCACAGAGCTACGAGATGGTAAGTTTTGCATTACTTTTTTAACATTGAAGAATAAATTTGTTACTATAATAACAAAAATGTTGCCTACAAGCAGTCTACACCAATTTCCCAATGTTCATATATCATTTTAAATTTGGCAAGATTTTTCTATCAAACAAGATCCTTGAATATTTTGAAGACCATAATTTTGTGTAAAGAAGAAAAAAAGTATTTTTTTACTGGTAAATTAGTGTGATTTTACTTGTATTCAACATCAATTCCTTGCAATTAACAATTTGTCTCTAATGCAGTGTAAATGTTTTTATTAATAAATCAATAAAATCTTGTCTCTGCCCATTGAAGCCAAAAAACTGACTGAAAATGATTTGGCTTAAGTTGGCAGATTATAAAATAAACAAATTCTCAAAATTTCAATTTGGGTTTTATCACTAATTTTATTTATTTTTTCAAAGCAACAATATAAGTTTGAGAATTTGTATTACTTTGAATGAAAAATATAATTTTATTAATCATTTAACTTGTATGTTTGGGGTGATGGTTTTAACAAAATCATTTGCAAATATGATTGTCTTCATTAATTTTATTAGTAAATTGTTTACATTGCTGCCCTCTCATCTCAATAATTATTGATATTAAAATTATTTTTTCTTTTAGTTTTTTAATTTAGAATAAAAAAGAAGTTCATTGTTCATTTTTGAATTTGCCAATTGATTGGTTTTTCAATGCTTCTGTTTATTTTATTTTTCAATACCTGGTGATTTTAGTTAGATAGTTATTTGCAAATGAAACTATTTCTTAATGTAACCAATGACATCTATAGTAGCGTGGGCAGTATTTACTTTTCACGCGTCCTTTTTATTTTGGCCTTATTTTCTGTTGTCTGAATGTATTCTATTCCAAAGGTTGTGTCTCTACATTACATCATAATCCAAGTATATAATGATATTTGTTTTGTTTAAGATTTTTTTGTAAAAATTTCCTACTTCGGTGTTCTAAATTGTTTGTTTTGGAAAATTTAATAACTCTGTAAAAATTGATGTTTAAAGAATTTATTTATTTATACTTTATTGTACACCAAAAATAAAAATATATATATAAAAAGCAAATTACAAATGAACATAAAAGGAAGGACAATAGGCGGTCTTATCGCTCAGAAAGTGATTTTTCCAGACAACCAAGAATGTAAATGTTTAATATAATTTTAAAAAGTTATCCTCTATATGTGTGTTCATTTATTGTCGCGGTGCTAACGACACGCTGTATACGTTTCACACAGAGGTGAATTTTCAGCATGGGTTCAGTTAATAAAAATAAAGGCTTTAGATTAATTTTCAAATTCTTTATTAATGCAAGTTTCTTATTGTAATTGAACATTATTTTTCAATACTTTATTAAAAAAAACGTAAACATAATTATGGAAAATAGTAAAACTCACAACCCTTATGACTTGAAATACATTCAGGTTGCAGATATTTATGCAGTTTTGTTTTCTCACTCTGCTTTCCTGTGTTCTGTCTCTCTCATCCTTGTGCTGTCTTTAACTATACGTTTATCTAAGCAAAAGTAAATACTGTTTTGAGTCTTTGGTGCAATGTTTGTGTTTGTGCTACCCATAAAAAAAGGCTGCTCTTCCAATGCATCACCGCTTGCAGGATACATGGAGGACTGGTGGCGGCCACGTAAAGGTAATTTGATCTTTATTAACATTGCAACACGTTTGAATTTCGCACAAACATTGTTAAAGTGCCGTTGTAATTTTTGTTTCTATCGATTTTTTTTTATGCGATGTTTGTGCTCTAAAAATCAAACACTGTCATAAGTATACTGTTATAATTGTATAGCCAATGTTCTTACTTGAGCACATTTCATTGGCTAAACATGAATCTCTAAAAATGAAGGCAAATTGCATGACATCATTGTTGACGTCATTTGTCAAACTGACGTTTTCAATCGGAAATAAAATGCCGCCGACGCATGGTCCATTTGTGAGAAATTGTGCATGGTTTCATAACAAAATTAACTGAAAATCATTGTGAATGTCATTACATATGTTAAATGAACACGAATTATGTGTCGAAATTAATGGTTATCAATTCGTAATTTGAGGTCGAACGGTCGAAAACGGAAATATGAGAAATAATAGCTTCTTTGCTCAAACAAATAAATAAGAGCTTTGTAACTTGAAGTTCTCTCACTGTCTTTGACTGGACTGCCTTAATTTACAATCAGATGTACAATAATTTAAATGGGTAGAGTTTTTATGGGGGCGTTAGTTTGGGGGGCTATTAAGGGGATGTGAAAAAAAATTGTACATTTTTTAATGACAGTTTGTTTTCATTTTTGTCTCTATAGCACACGCAACAGACTACTACGGTAAGTCATTATTCCTCCAGGAGCTTATCTTCGAACACTAACAACGTCTCTGTACTTCCAACAATAACTCGGTGTCGGTTGTTTTTTTTTTTTTATAAATTTAACTTATCTAATACACGCCATTGGAACTTGACTTGTAAATAGATATCCTTTCGATCACGCTTCTAGATGTTTCCTTACTAACATTTTCTAGGTGCGTCATTTGTCAGATCTGATGGATTCCCTCCAGGCTGGGGTATGTGAATCATTATCGGGGTGATGTCCATTAGTATTTTGTGGTACACGTAAAGTTGCCGGTCTCAAGTGGCCTTCCAGAGTTCTCCACGTGGCGTACGGACCGCGGTCCGGCCGCAGCGCATTGAGGGCACAGAGAATATACGAAATGTCGTTTATACCGATATGTGTGTATGGTATTCCGGTGGGGGGTAGTAATGCCGCTATATCGTCTCACGCCTACTCACTGCTCCCGTCTCGAACTAACCACGCACAAGTTAACACTGGACCCATTTGATTGAACTCGACTGATCGTTGCGCTCGATGGGGCTTAGTTCTGCAAACGACGACTAACCCGAACTTACGGTGGTGGTGTACCGGTGTCCCATGACGTGCCATACAAGTCTCGAAGGTCCTACCCCTCGAAGGTCGCCTCATGACGACCACACGCGGCGACTGTCCAATTTAAGACACGAAACATAATCGGCCCCCCTTTGTTTGTGGAGCTGGCTCCATTAAATTTGTTCCGTTCGTTTCGAACCGAACGCCACATTGGCCGTAACAGACAGTCTTCAGTTAGATAAAATGGTGTCTTTTAGGACATGCTGTAACATATCAGTGCACTGTTGATACGCTAATAATAAAATATGTATAGAGTTTTTTTTTTTTGTAATGGTTTCTTTTACTCATTGTTAATTCTGATTATATATACAATGGTCGAAAGATACTGACAAATGTTTTTTTTGTTTTCCTCCCCTTTTCAAGACGAGTACAATCTAAACCCGGGTTTAGAGTGGGAGGACGAGTTCACAGGTAGGTTCCAAATCCGAATCACACGATCAATCATTGGAGATTAAACCTTTGCCCTTGGTAGAGCCTGTGCTTCTGTCACTTGGCATGTTTTTGTTTTTGTAACTTTCCTATACCTTCGTATGTGTAACGCTACCCTTTGAGTATAGTCGCTAACCTGAACATTTAACACGGCACCGTTCAACGGAATCGGTTCGTCTGTCGCTGTTATACAGGCTGTTTGCATTTCCGCGTTTGATTTGGTGATAATTTACTCTATGGAAAATAACTTGAACGGTTCTGTGAAATGAAACATCCTGTATAAACGTGCGGATTGGTGACAAGAGCTATATTACATTTTAGTTTATCGGGTAAATATCTATTATTAAATATATGTAATACGAACAAGACAATACACTTCTATGGCCGAAGACGACCACTCGCTTACACAATTGAGTACACAGATTTGCATGACAGTCATCTGTGCATGACACAAGGCCATCGTGTTTCTATAATTACTATTATAATTATATATTTTATTTATTATGAGACATAGGTATATCTCTCTAGTGGAGAGCTCGGGAAGTTTTTTTTGTTTTTGCCTGATCGTGAGCTTATTATGACCGAGAATTTTTTTTAACCACTCCGGTATTTTCGCGTTATTGCGTTGGGCATGAATCAGTTTTTTTTTTAATGATAATTATCTGTTTTTCTTTTGTGCCAATATTGTTTTGTGTGGAACATGTACACTATAGAATTCAATGTCGATACCACGCGTTGCGCATACAAATGTTGCTTCTGCGATGACGTCAGATATGTCCATCCAATCTCAAGACGGCATGAGCTTTTGTATCGATTCAACATCTGCCATTTGTGGACGGTTAAATTGTTTACCCGTAGCTAGCGACGTTTATCCGACAACAGTTTTTTTTAAATTGAAAATGAATGGAGATACTTAAAACTTTGAATCGTCAAGAAGTTTGGCTCTACGGAAATTCGAAACAACAATTTTCGTCATTTAAAAAAATATATTTCCCATGGAATCAATTGCATTAAATTACTAATTGCATAATCTTCTAACAATAAATTAACATAGGAATTTCATCAAAAAATTAATTTACGTACATTAATACTCTTGATATCCTTAATTTTTTGTAGAAATTAATCACTTGCGATTCATTAGTGTCAAAGGGAAATGATCATCGTCTCATCAATGAAGACACGATGCTACTTTAATAAGGCGAAACAGAAGCTCTTTCAACAAAAATTAACGTAATAATAACAATGATATCGTGTAAGGTATTTTAAGATATGGATAACGTACTATTGTATTGTATCGTAATAACGTACTACTTGCATTATCAATCACGATCGTCATACGAGGATTGCCATGACGACGGAAAATTGTCATTATATTACACTAGACGTTTATGCACTCGTCGGTGAATTATTTAGTTAGGTATAAAGTTGGTTCAACAAGTAGCCGTTAGTTGAGAGTTGATCGACGAGATCGCGTCAACCGCCAGTGGAACCACGGTGTCGGTTTGCATGGGTGACATTAACACGACGCGCGTTACCGTTGTAGATCATAGCCGCTTACACTCATAGATTCGTTTCCTTCTAGTATCACAAGTACCCGCTTGTAACGCAGCTCAAGTCAGTCTTCTAGAGCTACGAAAAGCCGAAATGGCTCCATGAAGTTAGACACGCGAAAGACTGTTTCCTTATAAGATACAAATGAAAACGAATGAAATCGCGCTTTGTGGCGTTATTTTGCAGTCAAGTCTTCGCAATTATGTATTATATATAATAATTCAGACGTATTGACGTTAACTTAACGATATGCTTTCTTATTCCTAAACGTGTGGACCTCTGGCGTGTCTCCAGTTTGCAATAACCATTTAAATTTGTATGAACGAATATTGGAAGAGATAATAACTTCATGGATTCATTTACAACTTGTACGGCGGATTTATGCGATGACATGAGGGAATGTTTTAAACGTTTACTCTTCCACCATCATTTTGGCGAAATCATTGGCAAAAACGAATGCGTCTTCCATGCTTACATCATAACAGTTATTGGAATTGTTTTATTAACAAGAACCATTACAAGTTAGTATACATCCAAGGCGTACCTTCATACAACATAAACACAGAATTCTGCCCCTTATAACTTATTTACTGACATAGTGTCTCTTTATTATGCAATGCTTTGCCTGTATTCGAGGAAAGAAAATTTCAGTTTATTGCAGCGAAATGTATACATAATACATCAAAATGATAATCAAACTAAAAGTGATACTACCACAATTGGACAGAAATAATGTCTCAATTTTAACTGTTAAAGCACTGCATATGTCTGAAGTAAAAAGTTCCAAACCACTCACTAGACAACCGCCAATATAATATCCGAAATTCACAAGAAAATCTCACAACATTTGCAACACAAGAACAATGTACTGATTGGAAACAGATACTCGTATATCAGCCAATGTTGGATGTAAAAAGATCCAAACCATTCATTAGACAACCGCCGATATAACACCAGAGTTTCACGCGAAAGTCCACAGCATACCACACAAAATCCGCAACACATGAACAATACGTTCATAGCAAACAGATACAGCGGCCAATGTTGGATGCAAATAGTTGCAAACACACGAAAGTCTCCCCAAACGTCTCGCCACAAGAGCGCCGTACGCGCGTCGCAAATAAATCGGCCGTACAAACGCACCGCTTCGGCCGCCGCCCGCCCGCCCGAGGGCCATCATTATTCACCGTCCAGTGCTTACATTCGACGGCGACGGGGCGCGCCAAGGCGACGAGGAGGAGGCCGCCTTCCACGGGAAGCTGCCGCCGGGCATCCTGCCCCACGGGCTGCCCACCGTCAAGGAGGTGCAGCCCGCCGTCACCGACGCGCCCCACGACAAGAAGGAGGAGCCCGAGAAGAAGGGTGAGTACAGATTTAAAGTTTTTTTTTTAATAGTGCTAATCTCTGCACTTGTGATTGAACATTAAAATTTCTAGATAAAGCACGAAAAGATCGTCGCCGCTGTGGGAATCTAGCCACTGAGCTAAACGGCCGATCGACACTCCGACGAAAATCTTAACGTCTTTTATCTACATTGTCTTTTAGCATTTGAAGCAATGCTTGTTGCGCCGAAATTACGTCTGCGTCGAAACGATGGTGACGTAATCGAAATAGTAGTAATTTTATTTTTAAAAGAAGCCTGCGGAGTAGGTTTCATCGTAATAGAAGCCTGCGGATCTACAGCGGGGTCGCGTGTAAAACTGCTTTTATATCATTCTATGACAAAAAAAAAAATCATCTGTACAGAGGAGGCCTTTGCCCGGCGTTGGGGCATACTCTTACTTTATCTCACTCATCAGAAACTCTTATAATTTGTATGTAGTAGCTCGTAAAAATTTTCGCATGCTTCAGAGTCTATTGGCCCACCGACACTGCTCTAGCCCCTCTTCGACTAATTACGAGATTTATAACTCTATCATAAAAATGGGAGTTTTCATAAAAGTTGTGTACCAGGTTTTCCAGGACCCCACTCGTGACGTCGTCTATTTACCTGTAGTTATTCCAATCCAGCAGTTCGCGAGCTGAGCACGGACGAGAAGCAAACCATAATGCTGTCGGCGGAGTTCCAGAAGTTCATGAGCCGCGCGGGGCGCGTCATCGAGCGCGCACTAGCAGAGTCCGTCGACATCTGCACCGACTACACGGGCGGCGGCGACGCGGAGGACGCCCAGTTAGTGCATCCACCCAGTCTCTCATCCTTTTCTCTTCCTGTCCCTTTTCTCTCCACTTATATTCTGCATATGTAGTTTCGATATTGCCATTAATATTTCTTAAAATATCAGTTATCATTCCGATTCGTGGTCACGTGTAATCATTTTAAGATTACAGTAATATGTAAGGCATCCATGTTTATTGAAATTGACAGTTTTTGTTGATACTCCATCTTCAAGTTAAATGGAGTGTGAAATAAATGATGATAATTACATGGTGAAATCAAGTAGATCCCAATCAGTAGCAATACTAATATTCTTTCTACTTTATACTGCCCGATGTTAGTGCTTATACGCCTAAATGTTTAATAAACCACTTCCAATATATTTGCAAAACCCGTAGGGTTGCGGATGCGTTGCCGCATTTTAATAAAGCAAGCTCTGGTTACCTCACTCATCAGACGATACGCAGAAGTATAACTAGAAAGTGGGCTCCGGTTATCTCGCTCACCAGACGAAACGCAGAAGTATAACTCTTCCACATGACGCCGTTCCTCTGTGACGTCGAGGTACTTCCCCAGACGGATATACGGCCCTACTACAGTGGTTGCCGTCTGTTACTAATCACATCGAAGACGACATATTGACGTGCGTTTAAACCGCGACGTCTTCTCGGAGTTTCGGTCCGTTCGGAGTGTTCGGTACGAATCGGCGGTTCGTCGGGGGCTCCCGTACCGAAAGCCTGGCTCGCCAGGGACGACCGCTCGGACGCGCGGCTCTCGCTGGTGCGCACGTTCGAGGAGGAGCGGTGGTCGCGCGGGCGCTGCGTCACGTGCGCCGACTGGTCGTCCGCGCACCCCGAGCTGCTGCTGGCCGCGTACCACAACAGCGACGACGCGCCCCACGACCCGGACGGCGTGTGCCTCGTCTGGAACACCAAGTACAAGAAGACCACGCCCGAGGACATATTCCACTGCCAGTCGCCCGTCATGAGCGCCACCTTCGCCAGGTGATATTTTTCAATCGAACACGTCGTCATCTAACTAAGCAAAGTTTGTACTATGGGTGCTAGGTAATTGGTGAACATACTCTTGTAAATGAATACATAAACACTTAGACGCTAGAAAAAACTGTCTTCATCACACAATATGTTTTCCAGTAGTGGGAATCGAACCCACACCCTCTGGCGCAAGAGACAGGGTCACTGTCCACTAAATGTATTCCGCTGTGATCAAATAAGCCTTAGATGCATGTGGCCTTATAACATTCATTCTTTTCTGTACGTGTATATGTTGCGGTACGATCGTATATGATCCTCTCGGTGCTCAGGTTCCACCCGAACCTCATCTTGGGAGGCACTTACTCCGGCCAGATCGTGCTGTGGGACAACCGCGTGCAGAAGCGGACTCCGATACAGCGCACACCGTTGTCGTCGCTCGCGCACACGGTACGCAGCAATGGCGATGAAGCCTAGAATCATTAAAGTAATAAATATTCATTGATTCCATTCAACTTTAGAGCAGTTTCCACCTGGGAGTTGATAATCGAGATTCGAGACTGTACACAGTTAACTCCGAACAACCGAAATGTACAAAACAGAAGGCGATCTCGATTTCATTTTTCTTTTAAGATTAAGAGACGATAGCGTCACATAACGCTTCGAACACAGCAGTAACATATAATCCGGCTCGAAGGACCACTTAAAGTAACAAGTCAATTGGCCTATACGTGTCCTGCCAGTAGAATGCAGCCCGAGCTAGACGAGCTAAAGGCACGTCGGTTGCAGCACCCGGTGTACTGCCTGTCGGTGGTGGGCAGCCAGAACGCGCACAACCTGATCTCGGTGTCGACGGACGGGCGCATGTGCTCGTGGTCGCTGGACATGCTGTCGCAGCCGCAGGAGACGCTGGAGCTGCAGCACCGGCAGAGCAAGGCGGTGGCGGTGACGGCGATGGGCTTCCCGCACGGCGACGTGAACAACTTCGTGCTGGGCGCGGAGGACGGCAACGTGTACACGGGCTGCCGCCACGGGCAGCGCGCCGGAGTCGCCGACTGCGTCGAGGCGCACGCCGGCCCCGTCACGGCGCTGCACTGCCACGCCGCGCCCGGCGCGCTCGACCTCTCGCACCTCTACCTCACCGCCTCCATGGACTGGAGCGTCAAGCTCTGGAGCCTCAAGGTTCTGTGCGAGAATGTTCTCCCGATGCTATGCAAACCCATACGGCTTTCTCACTCACCTGACGAAACGCAGAAGTATGACACTTCACGCTGCCCTTCTGTGAGGCCGGGGTTGATGAGTATGCCCATTCATGCAACGGTTAAAACTGCTGCATGATGCTGACACAATAAAAAATGTGTCACTGGTATGGAAAAACAACATAAAACATAATATCTAATGCATAAAATTCTCATGTCACGGTGTTTGTAATTGAATTCCTACAAAACGGCTCGACCGATTTTTCGTGAAATTTTGTGTTCATATCGGCCAGGGTGGAAAATTGGACATCTACTTTTCATCCCCCTAAATGTTAAGGGTGGTCCACCCCCGACATTTTTTTCTACCTTACAAATAATTTATATGGCAAAACAACATTTGCTGGGTCAGCTAGTAAATATATGCTAAGAACCATCTCGATCGCAGCTTTCAAACCAAAAAACACCGCACGTAGCCGGTCCTCTCGTTGACGCCAGAGACGGCCAACTTAATACGTGTGGTTTAAAAAGAGGAGGAAAGTAACGTTGCGGCCCTCCAGGAGAACAAGGCGCTGTACTCGTTCGAGGACAGCGGCGACTACGTGGCGGACGTGCGCTGGTCGCCCGCGCACCCCGCGCTCTTCGCCGCCGTCGACGCGGCCGGCCGCCTCGACCTGTGGAACCTCAACAGGGACACCGAGGTGGGCGCGCTGCCTGTACATTGTTTGAATCCTACCACTCGCGGACTCATCTGGTGGCTCAGCGGAGTGGTAGTAAGGCTTATGTGGACCGTATAATGTGTTTCAATTTAAATAAGTACAATGATTATCGTTTATTTTGTTTTTTGTGTGTATAGGTTGCAAATTAATGGGCGGTTTACCTGATGTTAAGTTAATGCGACCGCCCATGGACATTTTTTACTTTTGATTAAGTAGGTTCCGGGTATCTCACTCACAAGGGAAGTACAGAAGTATAATACTTGCCATTTCTCGACGGTCTTCTGTGAAGTCTTGGTACTTCCCTGAACGGACCTACCCATTCGTGTAACAGCAAGGACTATAAGATGAAACCTGGTTCCTATCACAGTCTGTATATGGTAATTAGTACTGGATGTCAGGAAGCGTTTGATTGCCGGTCGACACCGGACATCAACGGACCGTCGATACACTCGATAATAAGAGAGAAATGATCAATATTATTCTCTGTTATTGAAGATGTGGAACCCAAACAGCTGATGCGGTTCACCTTAATATGTCGCATGATCGATTATGTCACATGAACGGCGAAGCTCATTAAGATACCTTGCAGTTGCATGGTCAAAAAGGTCACCCAATAGTTTTCTCACTCACCAGGCGATACGCTAGAATATTAATACTTATGTTTTGCACTGATCTTTCATCTGCATAATTCTCCACTAGATAAGACGTCAAGCATTTCATGTGGTGAAAATTTATCAACCCGTTAGGTTAGTGACCTGACCGTATGAACGCGTAATCCGAAAGGCACATACGCGAATCCTGGCAGCTGACGAAAGTTTCTTCGACAATTTATCCACACATTTTTTAAGATCCAACATATTTTCAGCCCAAAGTTACTACACAACTTATATCTTTACCAAAAACTGCAACTAGCTATTAGTTGCAGTTCAATTATGACTTGAAATGTTTTTAATCATCCAATTAGTTTCTTATAAGTAATATATAATCAATTGCATACAACAAAATTAATTTTTAATCATTCATGTATAACAACAGGTGCCAGTTGCTTCAATCCAATCGGAAAGTGGGACAGCGTTCAACCGCGTATCATGGACCCCCTCCGGCACCCACGTGATGGCAGGCGACGATGCCGGCAAGATTTGGGTCTACGAACTGGCTGAGGTAATATAGTCAAACCGACATTGGCTGATTAAAAGCTTTGGTCAAAGCTCTCTTTAAATAAAAGCTTTGGTCTCAAAGATATTAATAGGTTAGGCCGAAGCAATGTCTATCTAACTCTTGCTTTGGAAACACTTGTAATTGAGCACAAAATTGCTGGTATATTTTATTATGTGAGAAGGTGGCAAACAAGCTTAATATTACTATTAAACGGTTCACTTAATATTACGTGATAACCGCTTCCCATGGACGTTTGCTGATGAGTTACCAGCTTGATAAAGTTATAAAGTTGGCCCCGGCTACCTCATTCACCAGACAAAAAGCAGAAGTATATTACTTCTACTTCACGCTGGTCTTCTGTGTCGTAGTACTTACCAGGACATACCAGTGAAGATTATATGTCCATACGACAGTTGAAGTTTGAGTTAAAATCCATGTCTTTTATTAATAATTTAGGACTCAACACTGATCATAATGTGGCTATTATATAGTGTAATAGTCTTACTTCAATATTTCAGTTGCATTTTACACAACATTAGAATAATTAAGGCAGTTGACTTGTAATATTTGTATAAACAGTACTGATATATTTACATTTCAATCCCTTTATATTGCTCTTATTTTAGTACTAGTGTCATATCTTTGCCATGCCGACTAACTAAGGGAGCTTTCAATTTCTATTTGCGCAGCACGTAGCCCAGCCGCGGCATGACGAGTGGAGCAAGTTCGTGTACACGCTGCAGGAGTTGCGCAACAACCAGGCGGACGAGGACACTGAGCGGCTGGGCCTGGCTGCCAGCGGGCCCCCATCTCTCTCCAGCCTCACCTCGCTGGCTAGCAATCCGCTCAGGTATGGTCATTTGGACGTAAGCACCTATCAAAAAGCCCCGTTTGTTATGTTTTTGCCAAATAGAACATAGAATTATCCCTGTTTTTTTCTAAAGTGTAATCTCCTCGCAAACACCATTAAGAACGTACCTGTCAAGAAGAGCTGAAAATAAACTTATATTGAATAAATAAATTTTCACTTTATGATACAGCACCATTTGTACAAGCATACAAATATTTAACACCAACACTCTCCTAAAACTTAATTTATTCATTTGTCTGGCTAAAAATTCCGATAATTAATTGCTTCATGATATTTTGCCAAATTGCCACCCATCATTCACTTTTTGACGAATTATTATGTATATATTGTTTTTTTTTAATTACAGATAACTGATGCAGTGGGACGTCAGGTGTGGTTGGAAATTGTGATTGCCTGTAGTAGCTACTGGAACACATTTTAAATATGAAATCTGATGTCTGTTGCTGAAATGGATACCCATCAAATGTATCCAATACCAATATTAATACTCCACTGTAGTGTATATCTCAAAGAATATTCCAGTAATTTATGAGTCATTAAGCTTATAGTCCGTATACTTTATACATCTATTTGCTTAACTTAAAATTTTATAGGAAAAAAAAAACATCATAGAGTGTCAATGCCAATGTTTAATTTTGCACAAAATGTACCATCAGTAAATCGTTTTTAAAATGGGGCATTTCAGTATTGTATAAAATGTATCTCTCTTATTTATTTGTAGAGTAGGGATCTACTAGAGCAACATGGTTAATATAAGTTGAAATAATAGTGCAGCTGCTGTCGACTTGTTAATCACTTGTTTAATAATTTTAATTAAAACTTATAGTTCTTCACTCTTAAGGCATTCTATACTATAGTACAATGGTCAAGGTGTAGTAATTACTAACAGAGAAACCAGTTCCAGTTTGTATGCGCTTGAAATATTACACAAAAATGTGTTAAAGATATATCATAATACTTACATGCATGTACTTATGCATATAAATAAATATTTATAGGCATTATTTTAACTAAACAAAATAAATGTCTTTGCTTAGTATTTTTTTTTATTTTAACAGTATCTCTTATATTAATATGTAAAGTGTAAAACTATGTATAAGTTACCCTTTTCCAACCTCTTTCACATCTCCATTACTGTCATAATTACTCTGGGAAATGCACTCAGACAGTAGCTAACTGAGCTAAGTGGCCAATGTCAATTATTTGACATAGGAAAAGTAGTAAAAAGAAGATTTTTGTACATATCTACTCTGTAGCAGCATCTCTGTCAACCGAAAAAACTCAAGAATTCTCACAATTCTGCAAAAAGCATCATCAATCTTCTATAAAATTTCCATTTGCATCTAACTATTGGATCATATTGAATTACCTCAGAAGAAATGAAATATGGAATGTTTCACTACTTATTTATTCGGGAGCAAATGGAATCGCTACTTTTCCCCTTGAAATGTTCACCTCCTCCCAGCAGACACAAAACAGACTCTTTCTGTCCATAACATCAGTATAAAGCTTTCCATCTAAATGGTCCATTTCGTGCTGTGCAATCCTAGCAGGCCAGTCGGTGTAAGTCCTCTGTGCGAATTCACCTTGTTCATCATAACCTAGAAAAAAAAAAGTAAAGGAACAGCCTTTAAATGTCCCACTGCTTTTGTATACGGCGGGGGGGATGCGGTGAAGCCCCCGTATGAGGGGATGGAGGTGCGGAAATGTATAATAGTCTGAAATTTATTAAAAAACCTACTCTAACCTTTGCAATGTTACTATGGTGGTATTTATTTAGAATAAGGTTGTGGTACATGGAGGCTCTTCCTTAGAACTTTTATGTAGGGCTCTATTACTGGGTGGTTATAAAAAAATAACCATGAAAGTTAAGGCCTAATCTGTCCAATTGGATTGCTCTGAATTGCGCTGTCAACCATAAAGATGATATCAAAAAACTTAAACAACTTGAAAGACCATTAAAATATAATTAACCTCTGTTATATTTTCTATTTGTCCCTTTTTTTAAAAGCAAAGATTTACCGTAAGCCAAAAATAATTTTGAGGTCTGAAATAACATGCGTTAAAAGATAATGTAATCATTAAGTTGTCTCTTTTTAATGTTTTATAAGTTAATTATGTAAACTTTCTGGGCCGAAATACGAAACAATACTATTCTAAACAATTCCTAGTAGTTAACTTATAAAACTTAAAAAATTAATTTCTCGAAAACTATAAATTTCTGCAAAAAAATCCTTCCAGTATTTATTTGAATGACTATTACCTACCTATTAATATTAAAATTATCATGAAAATCGTGCTATCGTAAACTAAAGCAAATCGGGGTGAAACTTGAAGTTTTAATGTATTATTATTAAATAGCATCAAAATAATAGCGGTGTGTGATAATTACAAAAGTACAAAACATTCAATCATCACACATAACTAACTGCAGCATAGGATCATGACAATTTCAACAATAATTTACAATATTATGTTAGACTTAATAAAATTCAGTTTATGGTTTCTTTTATTATCTCTTATATAATATCCATAAATACAATGATAAACACACTTATTTGAAAATTTACAGCAATAATGATGTTGCATAAAATACTTGTTTTTTAATGTTCCTTTACTTACCTGTGATTTCCACTTCTTTATATCTAGCAACATCAGCCATAAAAGATCTCACACTCTCACAGCCCTCAGTATTGACAATTTTTCTATAATCAATTATCTTCAGTTTAGGATTCACAAAGACCTACAATATAAATTACAAAGTAAACAAATACATATCTTTAACCTATGAATCGAATTCGAAAGTATTTTAATAGAATAATACATTGTTTTATATTGAATACAGGTACTTACTTACAGTGAATGGTACAACACACATACCCTGTGCTTTTTCAATTTCTTTAGGCACCGATAAAATTTGTTGTACAGTTTGCCTCATAACGAAAATTCTTAAATTTACGCCAATCTGTGGTGCAGACATTCCAACACTACCGTATTTATTCAATACATATTCAAGTTTTTTAATTACAGTTTGTATTTCATTGGTTTTAATTTTATCTACAGGTACCGGTTCAGAAGGTTTACGTAACCTAGGATCTCCAATTTGAACTACATGTCCATATGGTGGTGCAGATTTTCCACGCCCAGGGGCTAATCTGGCATACCAATTTAGGGCTCTTCTGACTACTCCCATTAGGTTTTTTTATTTAAATAATTATAAAGTAAGTAGTAGTTTTTAATTTTTTTAATGATTTTGTCTTGACAAATGACTAGTTGATGACAGTGTTGCCAACTGCTAACTACTAAAAAATGTATCTCAGTAGTTTCAGTAGTATTACCTACTTTACTCTATGACCTGCACCTGTCCTAACAGTCAGGCAGTCGCAGGTAGGGGCGTCGAAGAATCGAAAAGTCCAATATGAATATTTCCGGGGTCTAAAAGCCCTAAGTTGGCAAGAGAGATGTTGGAGATTAGTAAATAACAAAGGGTGCGTTTCACTAAGGCCCGTTACGCACTAGCGGTTAGCCGGCTAAGTGGTTTGTTTTAGCGTCCAGCCGCCTGAAGCACTTGCTATAAATGAAACCGCGTAAGACGGTTGGACGGCTCGAAAACGTTTTGCCTTCGTTAGCGAATTTTTACTACCGAAATCAAGTAAAACGAAAGAAAAATAAAAAACGACACTGGATTCATCCTTTACTAGAAACACGTAATTAATGAGGCCAGATTGCAAGTTCTTTTTTTTTTTCTTCCCATTTTTTCCCTTTTTAAATCTCTATTTTTACAAACTGCTCCTTCAATATTCCAAATAGCTTCTCTTTGTTGAATTTCAACTATAAATTTCTCTGTATGTATGTCTCATGGCTGCGCGTCAACCGTACAAACTTTTATGCGGCACGCCGCCATCTAAACCGCCAGTGCGTATAAATAACATGGCGGCCTGCCGCGAAGCGTGCCGCACCGCCGGTTGAAAATTCATGGCGGTTAAGTGCGTACAATCACAGGCGGTTGCATATTAAACTATAAAAGCGGCTAACCGCTCGTGCGTAAGGGCTGTAAGCGTTCACAACGATCAAGCTCACGACCGCAGTTTTTCCCGTTCCACTTGCTTGTGAGCGTTAGTATCGTAAAATGAAGTAGAATGGATTATAGAGCGTTTTCAGCGTGGAGGTAAATAATACAAACGGCGAGTAAGAAAAAAGGAAGTAAAAGATTTAAGATGTTATGTTATAATCTGCAAGCCTTAAACTTAAAAAGTTATTGTTTAAATCGATTTATATTGAATAAAAATTAATTTATTTTTTTATATTTAATATTAGTGGTGTATTTAATTAATTTACGTTCAAAGGTAATTAAAACGTCTTTTGCTGTGACACTTTGAACTTTGGACGCGTACTTTCTACGCTGTTTCTTCTGCATATCAATGTCATGTTACAAATCAGCTACATCCATTGTTATGCAGACGATAGCTCTGTGGATGTCTCGTACACTGGCTGTGCTAATATTTGGAGTATACGAAACAACAAATACCGGAGCAACCGAAAACCGGAGCTGAAGTCGAGATTAGTTAACTAAAGTCTCATACTCGGGTCGAATAAACATCATCGGATCCAACCCCCTAAAAGACACAACCTTCCACGTTAACCGCTAAAAAGTCCCCATTTGTCATAACTCCTCATTTTGAGAATATTTACCTGTCAAAATTTCGTGCAATGTCCAGTTCCACAGTCAATTAAAAGGTAAGGCCAAATTGGCCTTAAAGAAACTTGGTGTGCTCAGCAACGCGAAACAATACTTCATGTCTATTATTATTATCATCACATATTATTCATATCAGATTTCGATTTCAAATATCAGATTTCGAAACTATGTATTTTAATATGTAGATATTTTACGGTCCCGTATCCACATTGAATTCTAAAAAAAAAAAAAAAAAACGTATCTAAAAAAGTTGATTCATTCTATGTACATAACTTTCCTGATATTTAAATCTTAACATTATATATTTATAATTATTTAGATTCCTCCGGGTTTAAATTCACGTTTACGAACGTAAGCTGTTTGATTTTATTCCTCGAAAGTCTTGTTCGATGATCAAGACCAGTGATACCAACTGTTCAAAAAGAATTCTAAATAAATTCGAAAACCCACTAAAATTGACTAAATTCAAAAAACTTACTGAATTTAAAATCACGATTTTTTTATACTATTAAGGTAAAATTAAAACATTACCTGATTAAATTAAAAATTTCATTAAAAATAGAAATTGAAGTAATATAAAAATGATTTATTTTAACATCTTATATATCGCTTAATAATTGACTTTGACATATCCTTAGAACACGCAATCATGAGTGACAATATTTTTATAATTTGTGTAAGAAATAATACATTCAGTATTATAACTTAGGGCGGAAGAATTTAAAATATACACACAAAGCACATAAACCTTGGTCTGATTTCCACCCAAGCAGCACAGCACTATTAAATTATATATTTCTCTTTGTGTAGTTTTATTTCTTTCCAAAAATATAATAAAATTTAACTAATAAAAATATTCATAAAAAATGTACCTCCTAAAAAATTTCGATTTATATTTTTCTTCCTTAATTTAGGCCGAAAATTCTTAAGTAGTAAGTCCCTTACTATTACGTGCTAGGTACCAATGCAATCCAGCTCAAGGCTAAACAAAATTTAAAGACATCGTTAATACCGTAATTCGTATTTAAATGCAACTAAAAATGTTTTTTTCCATGCTGTTAAGATTCAAAATTACTTAACTGCGCGCTTTGTCGCCCGTTACGGCTCAAGGCTAAACAAAACAATAAAAACATACTTAATAATATCGTTGTAGTAATCGTTGATACCATGATTAGTATTAAATTGAAACGGATCTTATTTGTATGAAGATTCAAAATTACTTATTCATAATATCTGTTTAAAAATCTGATATTGTGCCTTGCTTGCCGTACTGCTCTAACTAGTGTAATATTTGTATCTCACGCGCTTTGTCGCTCAAAATCTGTTTAAAAATCTGATATCGTGCATTGCTTGCCGTCCCGCTCTAACTAGTGAGTATTTATATCTCACGCGCTTTGTCTCTGTTTAAAAATCAGATATTGTGGCAAACGCGTATGATATCGCGATTCGTGTCGGTATAGCGAGCGAGCACGTTACATCAGATTTCGGAAATATCAGATAATGTAAACTATCTATATATTGAACGAGCCAGTAAGCGATATTCGGATATTGTACGTATATCTAGTTTTCATATCTGATACGATTTGTATCGTCCACTTCTAGAAATGAAGTCCCGAGTCCGTCCGAAGCCGAACAAACTTCAAATTTCAATCAAACATACTTTTTGAAAACACTTGTTGCTGAAAGTTTTTAAGTTTCTTTAATTCTTCACATAGACTCCTTACAGGTACTCTAAATTACTAGAAATTGTTAACAACTTAACAAGTATCACAGAAACATCATAGAAATAATTTTTCCCCTTAAATAGATTTCATATTCGAAAAATAAAATTAGTATACAACATGAAACATTTAATAAATATTGATAAGGCTAAGTTCAAAGTAAGTATATCTGCGACTGTTATGTAACAATGCTTGTAATAATTAATGTATATATTAACGTCATGTGGCTAAAATGATATTTTAAGGTCTTTTCTGCGATAAATTGTTATACCGTCAATTGTTCAGAGTTCGTTTTGAATAAAAAAAAAATTGATTGTATTTTATTTTTAATGTCTTTTCTTGCTTTTTCCAAAGTGTTAAATGTTAAGACAATATATTCTATTATAACTCTCCAAGTTTTATTTTTGTACAACTGTAATAGGATAAACTGTAAGATGAGATTATTACATGGATACTATTCAGATCTAAAACAAAATACTTATTCTGTGTTGTAAATTCAAATTTTATTTCAATTAAACATGTGCAAAGATTGAAATTATAAATTTAACCAAAGTTACAGACTTAATTATATATAGGTTGTTTGTCACTAATATATATCAGGAAGCCGTGATAGCTCAGTGTCCGGGCGCTCGCCTTTAATTCAATATACTCGAGCAACCTGAGTTCGATCCCCGGTGCCGGCACCAATGAAGTTTTTAATTTTAAGTGCTGATTTATCACATGCTCCGCGGTGAAGGAAAACATTGTGAGGAAACCTGCATATTTTCGAAATAATAACAAAAAATATTTCGAAGATATGTGAAGTCCGCCAATCCGCAGTGGGGCCGCGTGGTGGACTATGCCCTGATACCCTCTGTATAGAGGAGGCCTTTGCCCAGCAGTGGGACATGTATAGGCTGTTACTTTTACTGTTTTTACTATTTCAGGAATTTCTTTTGATAAGTATTATATATAAGGTGGTCTGAAAATGAAAGCTGCTGTAATTTTTTTATAGATGCTTAAATCGGGTTTCAATTTAGTACGAAGTGTTCCTGGAATTCTCAAGCGGACAATGTCAACACAAGAACAAGAAGTTTTATTTGAGACATTGAACAATGCCGGCATTATAACATTAAATAGACCAAAAGCATTGAATTCCCTTAATGAAAACATGGTGAAAATGATTCTGCCACAACTTCAAGATTGGGAGAAGAATAGAAGTTTGGTAATTGTAAAAGGAGCTGGTGATAAGGCTTTTTGTGCTGGTGGTGATGTTAAGGCTGCTATAGATAAAGAAAAAGGACCGAAATTCTTCCACACAGAGTACAATGTTAACTATCTCATAGGAAAATACAAAATCCCTTACATTGCGTTTATTGACGGTATCACGATGGGGGGTGGTTTGGGGCTGTCTGTTCATGGCAGGTACAGGATTGCAACAGAAAAAACTGTGATTGCAATGCCAGAGACGAAAATAGGCTTGTTTCCTGATGTTGGCGGTTCATATTTTCTTCCTAGATTGCAGGTCAATTTAGGTTTATATTTAGGTTTAACTGGTAATTAAAGACTATATTGTTTACAATGAAATCTTCAATTAATGGGATGAATTGTTTTGGAAAATTAAACTGTTTATGATCAATTGATAAAATATAAATCTTAAAATGGAACAATCACCCCCTAAATAAACATCTTTTTTATTATTTGGTAATTAGCATTTTCTTTAATTAAACAGTTCTTTTCAGGCGATAGGTTAAAAGCAAAAGATGTTGTAAAAGCAGGAATAGCTACACATTTTGTGCCAAGCAGGCGTCTGTACGAATTGGAGAAGCTTTTATCTCGTTGCAACAATGACATTGAGATACGCACCTTACTTAGCAAATTCAATGAACCACAGGAGGAGTTTTCATTAGCACCAAATATTAAACACATCAACTACTGTTTTGCCGCATCCACTATTGAAGAAATCATAGAAAGACTGGAGAAGGTTAAGAATGACTGGTCTATCAAAACCTTAAAGGTTGGTCTGTTTTGAATATAATGTTATATAGTTGGATATTCATGATGATGACTATTAAAAGGCAATTGGAAACATAAAATGATTTTTTAAGTACAACAAATTCTCCATTTACCATTAGACAGTTTTTATGAATATAAAGAAGAGAATGTTTTTCTGAATATACTAGAGAAGAATAGTCTTTGTAACAATAGTTGTATATTGAGAGCTGTCAAAGCCAGATTGATTATCTGCGGCCTGTGATAACTCGCGACGATGTTAATCATGGATTAGCTACGGTATACATATATTTTTATTACACACATGACTTGACCCCATCATGTGTGATACATGGTAGACATGCTAAGTTCAAATCTCAGCATAGCCACTGTAACTCATGTATTTTTAAATGCTTTCTTTGTTTAAAATGATTCTATAAATTGCAATAGCAATTCAAATATAAACTGGCTGCGTTATTTCTAGACGCTAGAGGGCATGTGTCCAGGATCACTTAAGATCACACTGCGAGCTCTGCAGCGAGGCGCCCAACTGGAGCTGGCTCAGTGCCTCCGCATGGAGTACCGCCTCGCATGCCGCGCTACCGAGAACCATGACTTCCCCGAAGGTGCTGTCGTATTATTCTATTTGTATCCAGTTTTAACTAACAATATGAATGGCTAAATATCATTTAAAAATTAATTTATAGCTACTGTCAGCATATAAACGAACTGAGGATATAATATACCCAAAGGGTTAGATTATTAGCTCTAGGCACTTTCTTTGCATCTGAGCTTATTGCAGTACATTAGAGAAATATAACAGAATTCTTAAATATGAATGCAAAGATATATTATCAGTTATCGCCAGCAGTATTTTCAGACTAATACCACTTATGGCCCTTCAAGAAGAGAACCTACTACATCCTCAAAGGTCCAGCAATGAATTTGTGACTCCTATAGTGTCCATGGGTGGGGTTGAACGTTAAACAACAGGCAGTCCGTTTGCTTGTGTCTTCATTTCCATAAAAAAAAATATAATCATGACCAGACATTTAAAATGCAAATAAAATTATACTAGTTGACTCATGATTTTTTTTTATTTCATTCAGTACTTTGGTACTGTGCGGTAAATATGCATGAGCCACTAACTGAATGGTAATAGAATAGCGTGGAAATAAGTGTTTATCATTGAAGGGTACTTTATTTTGTCAATAACATTATATTGACTCACTATCCTATAAACGGCATTAACACACATTAGTTTTAAACAGAAGTTTTTTAATGAATATACTATCCCCTTTTTGTCTATTCATCAAAGCGGAGACCATATAGTTTATATTTGGGCTGTATTGTTATTATACCTTTAACATAAAAAAAAATTGCCATGGAAAATTAATAATTTTTGTTTCCCATTTCGGCTTTTCAGGTGTCCGAGCTCTTCTCATTGATAAAGACAACAATCCAAAGTGGAATCCTAAGACTCTGGCTGAAGTAACTGAAGATTATGTAGAGGGTTATTTTAAGAAATTGCCCGAAGACCGCGAGTTAAAGTTCTTCGATGCCAAACTATAATCTCTTTATACACTTATTGTAACTTGAACAGGGTTCCTACAGTTTTGTATGTAAACTTATAAAAAATATTCCAAACTTGTATGTGATTCAGTCTGTTCACATTATGGTAATTCCTGCATTAATATGAATATTTATGGAAAATTTTAGAATTTTAAAGGGCATCAAAGGTAATTTATACAAAAACATCCTTAATCCGTTGTGCAAAGTCTTGCCAGAAGTGGGACTTATATACATAATTCATTTGTTAATCCCCTTAAAATATCTGCTTCATATGTGATATTAAAAGTATCTAAACCTAAAAATATGTCATAATTTTGATGAGAAAGAAATATAGTTTAAATTTAAGTGTTATTTACAACTATATTCATTCTTTTAGGAAGAAATACAGGTCATTATGTCTCGAATTAGGTAAGAGCCGTTGAAAATACTAGATGCTCTGATAATTCAAAAACATTTATTTGTATACTGTTAACATTAACTATTTTTATAAATATTTATAGTTTATTAATAAGTAAGACAATTATTTTACCAATCACTTTTGTAACAATCTATTAGAATAAAATATAAAATGATATATATTTTATACGAGAAAATATTTTCTCATTTTTGTTTACATACATAACTTGTTGTAAATCAAGTAACATTCACCTTAAAATATATTTTTTAAATATTTTTATTATTTACAGTAAAATCGGTTAAAAGTTGAGGTATGTCTGAAGCAATCAGTGCGGCTGTGTTACAGAAATCAAAGAGAATGTAATCACTACGTTTACGACATTTTGTTTTGATTTCTGTCACGACAGAAATCAAAACAAAATGTCTACTTTTAAGATGCATTTAATATTTTTTTTGATACTTCTAAAAAGGCTATTTAGGCGATGAGAAAATTGAAAAATTATAATATTGACTGCTTTTTTAAAATAAAAGCCTTTAAATTGTTCTTGATTTCATTCATTTTTAATAGGTTTGTGTTTAGTCGTGTCTTATGGAAATGGCATTAAATAAATAAATGCAAAAATTCTTTTTACATAAAAAAATAATTTACTCTGTAGTAAGTGTGTGTTAGTGTTGCGTGATCTAATTCCTCCCACCCCTTTCCGTTAACGGATAACTATGCGTTTGGCGGTGATCCACCTTTATGGTCGACGTTCCACGCACAAGAACAAAACAATTCGATTCGTTATTTATCCGTACAGCTAAGGAGTGGAATAACCCATTACAACGTAGGCGTCTTCAAGGTATAAGTGAATAGGTTTTTGCTGAACTAACGCGCTTGACATCAACGGCTGCATCGCCACTTACTATCAGCTGGGATGGCAGTTAAGTGCTGGCAGGTTTTGAATTAAAAACCTGATCTGAATAAAGCTTCTTTATTCATTCTTAAAAAACTGGTAGGACCACGCAGCAGTCTTCTCTTTTGCATGAATGGGCAGGTTCGTCCGGGGGAAGTAGGTACTACGACCTCACAGAAAACTAGCGTCAAATGGAAGGTAACGCATCGTTTATTAAGCATTGCTCCATCTAGTCAAGTATATAGTCTTAAGTTCTAAAGACATTTTAAACGACGTCCATTGGTAAAAGCTTTTACCCAATGGACGTCGCACCTATCCCTCAACCTCACGGACATTGCATTGCTGCCGGAGTCGTTCTTTAAAAGTTTAAACAATCCTGAGGTTGATATAACGCGCGTTAAACATTTTTTCGCGCCACCTTCCAACAGCACATCTATACAATAAAGTAGCGATAGGGATGTTTTTCAAAATATTCCATCATAGAATGAAGGTGCAGCAGAGCGGTACACTAGAGCGGTCGCCATCGTTGTTGTGCACCAGCTAGATACGCTATATTCCGTCCGTTTACGGGATTTACCAACGGATAACTACTACAAAAATTTCCATCATAAATTTTATCTAGTTTTGAAATATGGTAATATATTTATAATATAATAAAGAATTTGACGTTTGATTTTGTATATTTCATTTCATAGTTTATTTAATTGTTATTTGTTCGTGTTCCTTAAAGATGTCAAAACTTCTACGACGCTACAATAATTTGTAAATGATAAATAATAAGTTCTTTTAGAAGCATATTACAAATTTAAAAGTAAAATCAATAAATATGCAGTTTTATTTGAGTGTGTTATAGGTTAGATAGTGCTCCAATGAATTACTGTACCTCTTTTATTTTATTGAAGTTATTTAAATTCAAAGATGAGAACGTACAATCGAAAACGCATCAAGCATCAGTTAATCGAAGATGTTCATGATTTGTGCAGACTATGTCTTAAAAAGCCTGAAACAAGTGTACCGATCTATAACGGTCAGGACAATATATGCGCTTCTCTGGCGCTGAGAATTATGATTTGCGTTGGCCTTGAGGTATCCAATATTTTAGTAAATATTCAAATTTGTGTTTATCTTTTTGTTCTGAGTGTTTGTTTCCCAAATAGGGTTGACAATAGGCAGCGGCCTTTTATAAAAAACAGCGAAAACCATTTACAGTATGACACATGTTCTGCCGACCCCACCTAGGTAGGAGGATGATGATGATGAAGAGGGAATTGTAGTGTTAAACTTATTTTCTGCACTTGAAGTCCTTAAAAAATGTCTGGAGCCATATAGTAAATCAACTTACCACCACCTTGATACATCAGTAATAAGTGTTCTTAGAAAGTATCATATTTTTAGATCACAAGAGATGAGTGCCTGCCAAACATGGTGTGCACAGATTGTCATAAAGAATTAGAAAGATATTATTCTTTCCGGAAAAAATGTGAAGTAACATACCAAAAACTGAAATCACATGCACTAGCTGTTAAAGAGAGCAAAGAGAATAAATCTCTGTCACAGAGCGAGCAAGAGAATTGCAAAGAAATGGACGCAATTAAGGATGAAGCATTTGCAAAGGAAAATCTTAAAGAGGAATTAAATGAACAAAGTTTGGCTTATGAAGAAAACAATAAAGTAGAATTAGATGCAAAGGTTCTGAATAGTTTGGTTAAGAATGAGCTAAATTCAGGTAATGTTCAAGAGGTAGGTTGAGGATTTACTTCTGCAGGTTAATGATCATAATTTCTAAACTAACCAAGTTAAACTCTTAGTATGTTAACTAAAATTAAAAATTACCAACACTTTAAATTTTCAGCAGGTGCAAGAGAGTCATATTGAAGAAAAGCTGCCATCAATGGATGATCCGAAGTTTGAGGCATTACTGTCAACGGTTCTACTTCAATTAGGTATCGTTGCAACGGTAAATGATAAGTGGACACTATTGGACAAGAGTGTAAGGACATTAGAAATAGAAACGGGTAATGGAAAATATCTAGTAGAACTTATGGAAGAAGAGGAGGTGAATAAAATCCACATGGATGGATTACAATTTGTTGTTATAAATTATTTACTTTATAGGTATGATTTAAATGGAATATAAAGTGAAAAAAAAAGTTTGGTTGTTTTAGGAAATTAGGCAACATCTTACCCACCCAGAGACCTTAAAGGAGATTAATGACAATGTTGTGAATCAATCCAAAATAGATGTCAAAAATTGCAAAGAGTGAGTACAAATGTAAAAATTACTATACCACAATATTCATAACAAGAAGAATTCTTCCAGAATTTAATTAGATATATTTACCTGAAGGTAAAATAATCTATAATTTTTAAAGTACTAAGTACCAAATAATTAATTTTATTGTGATGCGAGTTTAGTCTTATAACTTAGCTGCTTGCACCAGGGAAGAGGGAGAGGGGTTAGAAAAACGGCAAAAAAAACATCACGTGTAGACTTCAAACTAGCTCAGTAAAAACTCACATCACACTCTGAGTTACATCTGTATTGTACCACTTCTTTGTTTCTTTCTGTGCTACCACTGTGGAACGGTGTAGTCTCGGGTGCTAAAGGTATTAGCTGAGCAAATAACCGGGAGAATAACCGGGGCGTAGGGCCGCCGCGGAGGGCCCTCTTGGCGCGGAGGCGCTGCGCTGCGGCGACTGCGGCAAGCGGTTCGCCACGCGCAGCGTGCTCGCCAGGCACCGGCGCGTGCACTCGGGCGAGAGGCCGCACGCCTGCCGCCTCTGCGGGCGCCGCTTCGCCCAGCGCGCCGTCATGCTGCGCCACGAGCTCGTGCACAACGGTGACCGCCACCGCCCCCACCTCCACCACCACCATCACCATCACCATCACACTCACCCTCATCCCTATCCCCATACCGTCACCTTTTCCCTTAGGGGCGAGCTTAGACAACTTGTAACAGGGCCCAGGGACGACTCCACGCAACAGCTACGTTGTTACGTAGTACCTAGTTACTTAGTACTGTTGCACGGATGGGCAGGTCCGTCCGGATAAGTACCGGAATTGGAAGTGTCATATTTCTGCGTTTCGTCTGGTGGTAGCCGGGACTCTTACAATCTCTCAGCAACATTTACATACATGTGAAGGAAAAATGAAGTTCCTCAAGTTGATCTTTATCACTTTTTAGACTTTGCCACTGCATTTCTTTAAATGCTGTGGGAAAGTAGTAGTTACACGACCCAAGTTTACTTTGAAGCGCTTGGATTCTCATGTTAGATGCCTAATTGTGACTTGGTATTTTGAACAGTTTTTGAATTTTTTTTTTTTTAATTTTGCCCTTATTTTAGGATAACATTATCCTGTGTGGTTAGGACGTTTAAATGTTTTATTTAAAATTACCCTCATGGTTCATAATCCACGAGCGGATGATAACTGTGTCAGGGCCACGCAATAGTTTTTGTTGCTGCACGAATGGGCAGGTCCGTCCGGGGAAGTATCACGACCTCACAGAAGATCGACGTGTAGTGGAGGCGTTACGCTTCTACGTTTCGTCTGGTGAGCGAAGTAGCCGAAATGTCCATGGGCGGCGGTTATAGCTTAACATGAGGTGAGCCGCCAGCTCGCTCGCCATTAGCGCGGCTAGAGCGTCCGTTTGGCACGGGCAGAGACGCGGCCGCACCAGTGCCTGCTGTGCCCGAAGAGCTTCACGCAGCGGGGGGCGCTGACGGCGCACGTGCGCTCGCACGCGCCCCCGCAGCAGCGCCCGCTCAGCCTGCACCGCTGCCCGCGCTGCCCCAAGCTCTTCCTCTACGCCTCCGGTGAGCCCCCCACGGCCCCTTCCACCCCTTGCGCCACCAACCATTCAATATATATCGTACGAATACCCTGCCCGGCTACCTTCTAACCCCTTTCACCTACCGCATATATTGCACGAATGGGCAGCTCGACCGCGGCAAAGATATTCCGTCACAGAAGACAGTCGCGAAGCACAAATTTTGTACTTTGCGCTTCTTCTGGTCAGTGGGTTAACCCCTCAGGTGTTGCCGGTACCCATGGACGAAGCGGTAGTCGCTTAAGGTCAGAAACTTTTCAATATAAAAAAAATGTAATAAACAGTGATACTTTAATTTCGGGCCCCTCGTGAACTCCGTTCACGTATCGAACTGACCACCCATAGCCGACAACACCATTACATGGCAGATGCTCATATGCTCAAATGAGTCTAAACAAATGTTATCTTCAAATGGTAAACAAAGCGTGTAAAGCATTGTAAATAGCTCTAACCACTAATCGCTGCTTAAAATGGTTATTGAATACGCGGTACTAGTAATTGGTTCGGTATTGATTCGATCGCACGCACGCGTGTAACGCGAGGCCTTGGTTATGCCAAGCGGCTCCGGACGGTCCAATGAGAGTGGATTGGCGCAGGGCTGTCGCGGCACATGCGCGCCCACAGCGGCCACGTGTTCGCGTGCAGCGCGTGCGCGCGCCCCTTCCGCGACAAGAGCTCGCTGCTGCGGCACGTGCGCAGCGCGCGGCACCCCGCGCCATAGGCCGGCGCATCACTGGCCACCTCTGCCGTGGCCGGTCTGACGTCCGTTTCGACAGGGCGCCCAGAGTGCATCACTAGTCTGCTGGTCACCCGCGTCGGGGAAAGTGCCTCGACCGAAGACCTTCGTTCTTCTGTTGACCGAGCTAGGGATGTCGAAAAGGTGAATTTGATATGTCGATACAAAATATTCCATATCGAAAATCGTATCAAAAACGATATTCTTATCAAAATGACGTCTGTAGGTGTCGAATACTGCTCGACATACCATTTTCGAATTTTCAAAATTTGGACGAAGAATGCTAGGACTATATCTAATTCATCGATATTTTCTGTTCGATATATCAAGGCCGATATTGATATTTTTATAAATCTCAATATATCTATATATTTCTTCACTTTCGACATTCCTAGACTGAGCTCGGTACCGTCAGAAAAGCAAAGCCTTCGTTATTATGTGCAAGCTAAATGGTCACTTTGTCGCCACTTATTCAACTAGTCAAAATCCGAGCTTTGGACTGGTACAATTGGTCTAGCTCAAGTTGTCCAAATCTAAGATTTTGTGCCAAAATCTGTGAATCACATCGACAATTAGTAGAACTAATAATTTGAATTATTTGATCTTAATCAATAATGTGCGTTGTTATTTATTAACGCATTTTTGACGTGAGAAATTAATTTTGTACAATGTTCTATAAATAACACGATATACAATACAATTATTTATATTAAACATTGTTTTATTGACTTTTATATAAAATATAAAGGAACCTATGCTTTATACTGTCGATTCTATTACTTTAAGCGTTAACGTGCTAAAGGGGTGCTTGGTTGAAAATTAAATAAATCTGATTTAAAAAAAAATTGTACAACATACTTTGATTTCATGCAGTGATAGGGCCACGTAACACTTGCACGAATAGGCAGGTCCGTTTGGGTAAGTGCCACGACCTCACAAAAGACCGGCGTAAAGTAGAAGTGTTTCACTTCTGTGTTTCGTCTGGTGAGTGAGGTAGCCGGGAGTCACTTTATTTAAAGGTGAAAACGCATTTGCAACCCTATGGGTGTTGCAAATGTCCATGGGCGCCGGTTATCACTTAAAAATATATATATATATATTAGATTGACCACTGATTTTTTAATAAATATCAGTGGATCATACGTGTTTTAATATATCTTAGCAACACAAAATGTATTTACAACGATGATAGAATGCCACTGTATTATAACCACGAGTGTAAAACTTCATCGTTTTAGCCCACTGCTGACCACAGGCCTCCCCCACTGGACTACCATGATAGTGCTATACGGAGCCACTTCTAACCATTAACAAAAAAAAAATATCACAATTATTAATTTTGACTAAGCATGGTTTTATTTTATGTGAGAAGTTGGCAAACGAGCTGGCGGGTCACCTGATATGAAATGCAGAATATACAGAATACTTCACGCCGGCCTTCTGTGGGATAGTGGTACTTACCCGGATGTACTTTCCCAATCCAGCAACAGTGAAGACTGTTGCGCAGCCTTACCACAGTTAGATACATTGTGGCTTTGCTTATTTTTTTATTTTATGTTTCATAGTTAAGCCTTCTTATCCTAAGTAATTCTAAAATAAAAATATAATTGACGACCTTTAAAAAAAAGTTTATTTTTTCATTCGTATTCAATAATGTGAACTTAGCCTGAAAAGTATTTTCTACACAAAAATTAAAGAAAGTGAATTTAAATATTTACTTCATAAAATTAAACAAACCCTTTGTACTCTGTGACGTTTTTTCAAAAATTTTTTTTAATTTATTTTGTTCGTTACACATAAATTCCTTAACGTATCGTTAACTGCGTTCTTTAACGAGTTGATTTTATTAAACGACACAATTTACGAAACGATGTTAAAGAATTACAAGAGATCAATGGTTGATTCAACTAGTTCGTTGATTCAACGCCCATCGCTACTATTCTTATCAAAGAGATCTTTTATATAAATTTCCAACCCGACACAAACGCGAAAGTCAACAAGCATCGCCCGCGAAACGTCCTCATCGACCCGGTCGAGGAAGGGGACTTAGATACGTTGGACCCACCGTCGAGGGTCCCGTCGGATAACACTACACCCACAGCTAGTGTAACAACAAACACAATAATTAGCCCTAGCCTCCGAGTACAGCGAAACCAACACAACGCGTACACAAGGTACACCCGCGTTCCAGGGCGGTTCTCACCGCCCGTAGCCGCCAATTAGCTATAAACACAGTCGATGGTCACAGGGGTCCCGGTCCGAACCGCGACCTCGATGGCCCCTAGATGACATCCATAGTTAAACGCACGCATGAGCACATGCGCGGCTCTACCCACAGCGGAGGGCCTAAACCCGTGGGTTCTGGCTAGCCTACCGGTTCTGCATCAGATGAAGCTTTAATAGTTTGGGAGCCGGCAGGAGGGAACAATTAAGATGCAGTACAAAGAACAAGCCGTGTTGAGAAAAACATCATCTTTTTATTGTCACTCGTTGCTATAGAAATTTGTCAATAATAGGGTAATGCTAGACCGATGAGAGTAAGGGTGTAAAAGATAAGAGCGGTGCTACACAGTAGCAAATGAGTCGCCACATCACATCACCCCCCTACGGAGAAAAATAAGTACACATTGAAGGCAAAAAAACAAGTATAAAATGTAACAATCAAATAATTATACACTGTTATTATAAAAGTACAAGCAACATTATTTAGGATAAGTTTTAACTCATGGAATTTTAATTTATATAACGAAAAAATAAACATTGGAAACTTAAAATTGAAAAAACTCTGCTTTAACAAATATAACGTATTAAAAACTAGTACTTATAAATCTAAAATATCTTTAAATTTAACTTTGCGACCTGACCGGGTTGTTACAGGCTGTGCGGGCGTTTTAATGGGCACGGCCGTTTGGCTAATAGGAGGTGAAAGAGTCGGAAGGACTGGGGGCTCCGGTGCCAAGTTGTTAGGGGACGGATTGCCGTCTGGTGCAATATACGCATGTTTTGCCTGTATAAGGTGGCTGTAGAGGGCGTCGAACGGAATCTTCGCGGAGGAACACGTGAGTAGCATCAGGTAAGTCCTTGAAAACGAAAGTTTTAGAATTCGTGTGACGTGATGCTGGAACGGGGCGAAGTTCTGCCATCCATTTTTCGCAACTGTGCAACAAAATCATCGTCCACGGTCTGAGGGGAATTGCTAGCCACCAGGAACTCGCCTGGTAGGCGTAGCGGTTCCCCATACAAAACTTCTGCAGCTGACGTTTTGATGTCATTTTTTAGTGCCGCCCTGATTCCGAGAAGAACGAAAGGTAGGGCATGGTACCCAAGAACTCTTGTGACACATTAAGCGGCCTTTAAATGGCGGTGGAAACGCTCTATCATCCCATTAGCTTTGGAGATGATAGCTCGTAGTACGAACGCGTTTTGTGGCTCCTAAATCCATTAGTCTGTTGAAAAGTTGGGACTCAATTGACGTCCCTGGTCCGTTTTGTGACAGTGATCGGTACACCAAAGCGAGCGATCCAGCCATGGGTGAATTGATCAGCGACTTCTACTGCGGTTATCGACGACAAGGGCCAAACTTCGGGCCAGCGTGAGAAACGGTCTACTGCTGTTAGGCAATAAGTGAATCCGTTTGAAGAAGGCATCGGTCCAATAATGTCCAGGTGAACATGACGGAATCTGCCTGAAGGTGTGCTAATGTTGCCAAGTGGTGAAACGACATGGCGCGTTACCTTGCTGCTCTGGCAGGCGAGACACTCGCATGCCCAGGAGCGGCAGTCTTTAGCAATGCCTGGCCAAACATAGCGGTCGCTAATGAGGCGCGCGGAAGCGCGTGCGCCGGGGTGGCTGAGACCATGTAGGCGATCGAAGACGGCTCGCCGATATTGTTTTGGCAAAAAGGGTCTAGGTTTGCCTGTTGACACATCACACAAAACGGAAATGTTGGATCCAGGTATGAGGGTTGGCTCTAACTGTAAAGAAGAATGGACCTTTACGGTTTTAAGTTCGTCGTCCGTCTGCTGAGCTTTTGCCAGGGCTGCGAAATCGTCATCGAGCGTGATAGCCTCAATGTCAGCAACGATGTTGTCTTCCCCCTTCACATGTTTGATATCAGTTGTAAACTGGGAAATAAACGTAAGTTGGTTAAGTTGAGCAGGGGGCAATTTTTCACGGCGTTGGACGAAAGCATAAAGAAGCGGCTTGTGGTCCATGTAGATTGTCGCGTGTTGTGCCTCTAGTATATGCCGGAAATGCTGTACGGCCGCGTACACTGCGAGAAGTTTCGCGGTAATACGCGGGCCATGTACTTTGGCTCTGTGTTAGCTTTTTGCTAAAGAATGCCATCGGCTGCCAGCCTTGATCAGACCTTTGCTGTAAGGCAGCGCCGACATGAGTGCTGGAGGCGTCCGTGTACAACCCTAAACGAGCATTTCGTTCGAGGATGTACAAGCATGGTGGCCTCTGAGAGACTGTCGCGACACTCGTAGAAAGCACGCTCCAAGTCTGCTGTCCAGGGCATAGCTTTTGAACCTTTTTGGCCCAGGTTGCTGACTGTTAAAAAAATCCACAAGTGGAGCTTGCAGCTTGGCGGCTTTGGGAAGAAATTGGCGGTAATAATTTACCATCCCCAGAAACCGTCTCAAACCTTGAGCTGTTTTGGGAAGCGATAATTCGCGGAGAGCAGCGATCTTCTCTTCAGGTGGGCAGATACCATCCTTGGTTATCTTATAACCTAGGAAGATTACCTCACATGCCCCATGTGTGACGACCAGGGGCTTTTAGATGGGCGAGCAGTACCCGCCGACACCATGTCATTAAATTCCTTCTCAGCAATTTTTAGCTTGTTGGGTGCTAGACGACGAGGACGCGACGTGACAGGCGGCCCACTAGTTGTCGTTATATAGTGAACAGTGCTGTGTTTTATTTGACGGTCAGCTGTAGGTGGGCGCGTCACTTCCGGAAAGTCTAAAAAGAGTTGATTGAACAGGGAATCGCGAGACGGTTTTTACGGTCCTAATACTTGGCTGCATTATATTGCGGTTACAACAATATGCGGATAAGTTTGTAAGCTCATCGCGCAGTGTGCCGCTACGGCAGTCGGTCCGAACCGATAATTGGGACATCCACGTCAGCACAAATAAACTCCCAGCGAAATTCACGGCGCAGTCCTAAATTGAGGTTCAGATTAACTGTGCCGTAAGTTTTAATGGAGCTGCCATTTGCCGCATTGAGAGTAAGTCCTGTATTTT